CACCCCCCCTCGTTCTCTCCAGATTTCCTTGGGAGGAGCCCCTCTCCCAGCCACCCTGCCGCCGTGGCCCAACCCCCTCTCTGCTAGCACCTTCTTGGCCACTTCTGGGTGCCAAGGTTGTCCTTGCCCACTGCCCAGTGCCCTGCCCGAGGGAGGTGCTTCTAGCCTCTCGCCATGACTGCGTCCTTGGCAGTGGGCTTCTGGGTTCTCTTTGGCGGGTGGGTTGTGCCCACATGAGGACTCGTCATCTGCCTGACGGATTGCTCCCTTTCTCGCTGAGCTCAAGCTAAGCCCTGCCCCATTTGTCCCTTCTGCCGCGGACCATGCTCTTGGGGTGCCCTCTGCAGGTGGTTTTTGCTTGAGTGATTCCCCAGAGGGTGAAGGGCTCCCTCCTCCCTTTCTTCTTTCTTCCTCCCCCTCCTCTTCCTCTCCCACCTCTTCTTCCCCTCTCCCCCCTCCTCTTCCCCTCCTCTCTCCCCTCCCTCTCCCACTTCTTCCCCCTCTTCCCTTCCCCCCTCTCCCCCTCTCCTCTCCCACTTGTTCCCCCCTCTCCCCTCCCCCCTCCTCTCCCTCACTGCTGTTCACATGTGTCACCTAGCCCTGGGTGTGTGATTGTGCCTCCCTCCCCTCCCCCTCATTTGCCAGCCCCCTGACAGAAGCAGTCACGTTTTTGTTCTCCTGCTTCAGACCTTAGGGAAGGCCTGGCTCTGGCTCTAAAAAGGGAATGTGTGATTGTCTCTAAATACCCGGAGTGCTGAGCGTGCTCCCCAGCCCCTCCCTCATTGACCTCAAGGGGGGGGCAATGAGGACAGCAGTGCCTTCACCCCTCACCCCCAGCCCTCCCCACTCTCCATGCCCCTGGACATACCCGGCCATTTCTGCAGGCGAGCCTGGAGCCTCACACACCCGCTACCTGGGTGACCCTGGGCCTTGATGGACGCTTCTCAGCCTCAGTTTCTTCATTTGTAAATGAGAATCATAAGAGCCCCTCCCCAGGGTGTTTGTGAGGCTGACAGCAGCAGATAATTAACACTTGTAAAGGGCTTTGCACACTCATCATTTTTTATCACTCCCACACTAAATCTCTGGCCTCCTTCCCAAGTCCAAACCCCGCCAAGCCCGCTTCCCATTTTCTTTCTCTTAAGGCAGCTGCAGCCCCTGACTCTGCTCCTGCTTCATTGGATTGTGAGCTCTTTGAAGGCAGGGACTGTCCTTTGCCTCTTTTTGTATCCCCAGCTCAGGGCTTGGCACTCTGTCGGTGCCTAATAAATGCTTGCTGATTGGCGTTATTGATTTCTGGGGTTCATGCTGGTCCAGCTGCTGTCCTGGTTGGAAGGCGAGCTCTGTAGACTGACAGGCTTTGAGGTATCGACAAGGCCATGCTCAGCCATCCAGCCACCTGCCTGAGCCAAGGTCCCCGGACCAGGCCAGGGCCTCTCTGCCTCACCATCACCTCTGCTATCTCCATTTATGGAGACAGAGCCCCCATTTCCTCATGGGGTACAGGGGCTGAATACTGCCCCCCTAGTGCTGGGGGAGATCACAGCCCGGCCCTTCCCAGGGCAATCCTCTTGGGGGAAGAAGCCAGAGGGCTCCTCTGGCTTCCGGGGGGAGGCTGGGCTCACTTGATTTCACCTGTGTGCTATTTTCAGAGGAGGGTGCTGTTAGTACCCAAGGCATGGGGGCCCCCCTGTGGTCAGTGGGAGAACCACATGTGTGAGGACAAGGAGGGATTGGAAGTGGCTCCCCACATGGGGACACGGGTGGGGGGGTAGGGAGGAGGCCTGTGGAGGGCCACACCGCTCCTCAGAAGGAGTCAGAAGCAGGATTTTGCCCCGTCTCTCTGGCCCCGGATCTGAGGCTCTTTCCAACATGGCTGACTACCTTGTCAGTCCAAGGCTGGGTCGGGGACCACACCTTGGCCAGAATTACTGCCCATTTTGCAGATGTCTGAGCTCTGCAGCCCCCACAGGCTGGGACCTGTCCAGCCTCCTCTCTGTCCCATCCAGGTGACAGCAGTTGGTTCACGTGCCAAGAGAGGCCAGTCTCGACCTCCTCTGCCCTGGCCAGACTGCACCTGCTGGGTTATGGTCACCTCTGAGCTCTCGGATGCTGTGGAAGACAGGGAGGGAGAAGGCTGGAAGGCTGAGCCATGTCATGGGAAACTTCGAGGGAACCTGGGGCTGTTTGGCCTGGAGAAACCTGGGGGAGGAGGCAGGCATGATGCTTAAGTGTCTGGAGGATTGTCCCATGGCCTAGGGTAACACGTGAAGTCTGTGTGTCGGAAAGGTGCCAGGGGAGGCTGGAGGGGAAGCTGGGGCAGAGAGGAGGCCAGGCGTGGGGGGAAGGTGTGGAGGGGAGGCTGGGGCAGAGAGGAGGCCAGGCGTTGGGGGAAGATGTGGAGGGGAGGCTGGGGCAGAGAGGAGGCCAGGTATGGGGGGAAGGTGTGGAGGGGAGGCTGGGGCAGAGAGGAGGCTGGGGCTGAGAGAAGGCCAGGCATTGGGGGGAAGGTGTAGAGGACTACCTGGGGCTGACGAAACCAAGCATGGGGGGGAACATGTGGAGGAGAGGCCGGGGGCTCCTTGAGAACTGGGGCCAGGCTGGCTTTTGCCTTTCTTTACATCCCTAGGGTTTAGCCCAGTTCCTGGCACATAGTAGGGGCTTAGTCAGTGACTGTCTGACTTCTCTTGGCCATTCATGGTCCGCCTCTTCCTTCATCAGTGTCAGCCTCCATCCTGCTGGCCAAGTCTGGGCCAGTCTCCTTTCCTGACATTCAGGGCCCTCCTGGATCCATCTTCACCTCCCCTTTTCGGACTCCTTCCTGCCCCCCTAACTCCGGTCACTCCTGTCCTCCAGAGCCTAGCTTGGGTGCTGCCCCCCGCCTTGCCCCCCAGCATCACACATTATGGTGATCTGGTGTCTGGGGGTCCTTGAGGGCTCCACGCATCTCCGTGGGGTCAAAGGAGTGGGGGTCTGCCTGGGGAGGAGGGAGCCCCTTGGCACCGGACACATACAACCATGGGACCTCTCAGACACGGCTGTAGAAGGGAGCCGGCCCGTGACCCTCCAGCATCCATCTCCAATCTCCGGGTCTTTGCCCTGGCTGTATCCCTGGGCCTGGAATGCCTGTCCTCCCCTCCCCCCACACACCCCGAGAAGGCCCACCAAGCTGCTGGCACCCTCGCCTCTTGCCTCTCCTGTGGAGATAGCTATGTGGCGGCCTTGACAGAATGGAAGGGACTTGGCTTTGTCTTTGCGCATCCCAGGGCTTTGCCCGGGCACACAGCAGGCACTTCGTAAGGCACCATGGGAGTGACTGCCGGAGATGGTGTCTGTGTGACACTCCCCAGTGGGCTCTGGGCAGCCAGGCTGGGGCTGTGTAGGGGAAGGGGCTGAGTGAGTTGGCCCATCCCAGGGCTCTGTGTCTGAAAGGCCTTCCTGGGTGGAAAGGGGATTGTATTGGGCAGCCCTTCTTGGCCCCGGTGGGCAGGACTCCTGGAGCATAGGGCCTGCCACTCTTGTTCCACCCCGGGGGGGTCTGCAGGCCCAGGCTGGTTGTGCTGGTCAGCTATGTGGTAGGGCTGGATTATTTCTGACATCTGGGGGTGTCCCTGGGGGTGACTGCCCATCATCATGGGTGTGGCTGCCTGGGCCTGGCCTCTTCATGCCAGAGATAACCCACAGATGGTGGAGAGCCAGCCAGAGCCAGAGGCAGCATCCCGAGCAGCTGCATGCCGGTGCATCTCTGGGGGAGGCTGCTGGCTTTGGCCTCAGGCCCAGGGGCCCAGCTGGCTCAAGGAAGCCGGCGCTGATGTCTGCCCTCCACCCAGGGGCTTGTCTCGGGCCTGCCTCCTGACTGCCCCTCACCAGGGATTCTAACTCTAATCCTGAGTCCCGTACAGTGCCCGGCCTGGCCAGGAAGGGCCATAGTTACCACCGTGCTTGTGAGGGACAGGGTGTGTTTGATGTGCAGGGCAGGAGGCCTGTGAAGCCTGGGCTCTCTCTGGGCATCGGTGGGAGGGCGAGACTGGATGCCTTGTCTGTAGCCTAGATCCGTCTAACTTGCCTTCTGGGGGGCCCGCCCACACTGAGCCGCTCGGCTGCCTGCGATGGGCAAGGCCCAGAAAGCGAGCCGGACCTAGAAAGGGGGGGGGGTCTGGCCAATCAGCGGCTTGCTTGTGCCCAAAGCTGGGTGGGGTCATGAGCACCAGAGTGTTGGCCCACCAGGACAGAGGGCAGATTCTTATTTTAAAAAATAAACATTCATTGAGAACCTTGTGCTCCTTTCCCTCTCGGAGCCTCAGTTTCCCTACCTGTACCATCCATAGGCGATCGTCAGAGCAGAAGCACAGAGCTAAGGCGCGGGGGTCACTGCCTGCTGTCTGTCTCCGCTTGAGGCAGAAATAGCAGTTTGAGGTGCATCTGGGGGAATGGAGGCCAGATGCTGGGAAGCCCCATTAGGCCCGAGGAGGCCAGGCCAGGGTCTGCCTTCTCTTTGGCCTCCTCTGGCATCGAGCCTGGGGTGTGTATATAGTAGGTGTTTAATTAGTGTACGTGGACGGGTAGATGGGATAGGCAGGGTGCTCCCCTAGCGTGGCCGCCTCCCTCCTGAGACTTTCTGAGCTAAGAGAGGTGAGCAGTTGCCTGGAATGTGCCTGAGGTCCATCAGAAGGGCGTGTGGCCCCCAACCACATTCCTCTCTGACGCGCTTGGTGTGAAGCTCCACATGCACCAGTACTGCCCATCAGGGGACAGCAGATTTGGCCAGCTCTGCACCCAGGCCCTCGGCGTGGGGCAGTGGCTGCCCTGGCTAGGGTCGGTGTTGCCCGCCCTGGCAGTCCAGGCAGAGGGGACAAATGCCCCAGCTGCCATGGGTGAGAGGCGTGAAAAGAGAAGCCGGGCACGTCCCATTACTGATCGGCCCAGGCACACGCCCCTGCTGTGTGGCCATGGGCGCTCCCTCGACCTCTCTGAGCCCACTTGCTTCTCTACCTGTGCAGACACGGCGTTCGGCACCCCGCCAGGCTACTCCTGTGACGTGGACCATGCAGAGGAGCGGAGGCGCCAGCAGGAGCGGATGCCCTACATCGACGACTCCCCCTCCTCCTCCCCCCGTCTCAGCGGCCAGAGCAGGGTCAGCCGGGAGGTCCTGACCTCCGGCACGGTGAGTCCTGGCCGGCTGGGGGCCCGGAGGTTGCTGATCTGGGAGAGCCTGGTGTGCTCGCCTCCGCCACAGTGATGCTGGGGGGGAGGGACCACAAAGGAGGGCGATAAGGCTCTGACTCCACGCTCTTGTGGGAATGAGCACTTATGTGATGCCCACCGTGTACCGAGTACTGGGCTAAGCAGTCTTTACACATACCTCATCTGATCTGTGTGACAGCCCTGGGAGGAGCCAGGTGCTGTCATGACCCTCGTTTTACACTTGAGGAACCAGGCAGGCAGCCGACAAGTGCCGTGCTCAGTGAGGCAGTGCCTGGAAGTGGATTTGAACTCATGGCTTGCTGACTCTAGGCCGGGCGCTCTGTCCACCGAGCTGCTGGCTGCCTCTGGGGTGGCGTGGGAGGGCTTGTTACCTTATTTGGGAAGGGGAGTAATCGGATCCTCACCCTAGCCCTAAAGGTCTCTGGCCTCTCCCCAGCTTTGGTTGGAAAAGTTCTAGGGATGGGAAGGGGGTTCCGAGGGGGTTGACATGCCCCATCCAGGAACAATGGCCCGGGGAGGCGTGCTTGCTAGCTGGTGGGGTTCCCGTGGCCAGACTCTCGCTGCTGACCTCATCTGCCCCCCACCGTGACCTCTCCTTGTCCCTGTTTCTTCCCATAGAGTGAGCTGGACTTGGAGAAGGGCCTGGAGATGAGAAGATGGGTCCTGTCTGCCATCCTGGACAGCGAAAAAACCTACTTGGGCCACTTGGAGGCCCTGCTGCTGGTAGGAACAGAGGCCGGGCAGGGCGGGCTGAGACGGGGCCAGCGTCCACCCTGGGGAGTGCAGGAGCAGAGCCCTTGCCTTTATTTGATGCTTGGTGTGTGCAGAGGCCCCAGAACACCTGCGTTTATTCGGCGCTCGGTGTGTGCACCTGCATTTATTCGGCGCTCAGTGTGTCCAGAGGCCCCAGAACACCTGTGTTTATTTGGCGCTCGATGTATGCAGAGGCCCCAGAACACCTGCGTTTATTCAGTGCTTGGTGTGTGCAGAGGAGCACCAGAGCACCTGCATTTATTTGGTGCTCAGTGTGTGCAGAGGCCAGTGTTCAGCTCAGCTGTGGCCTGGTCCCGCCACTCTCTCGTGGAGCTGACAGTCTCGGGGAGATGTAAAGGCGGTGCACATGTGAGATGTCTCCAAGCCGGCCCCTGTGCCCTGGGGGCTTGACCAAGGGCTTCCCAGAGGGGCAGCTGCATTTTCTTTGGGATTTAAAGGCTCCATAAACATTCTGCAAGCAGGCGGGGGGGGGGAGGCCTTAGGATCTGAGGTAGCAAAAGTTTGGCAGTGGGAACCTGCAGGGCGTATCCTGGAGTTTGTGGAGGGGGAGGAAGAAAGGAAGGATTTGTTAGACACTGTGTACCGGGCCCTGCGAAGGGCCCAGAGGCCCTTAGAAGCCAAAAGCAGGAAGGTCTTTCCCGGAGGCTGGTGCAGAAGAGGGAACCTCCAGGCAGGCCAATGGGCTTGGGAGGCAGGAAGGTGGGAGTGGGGCCGCTGCTCCTCTTCCTTCAGCCTTCAAAGTGGTGCTGGGCCTGGCTCGCAGTGGAGCCCCTCCTGGCCTCTCCCTTGGTGGCAGCCCCCCCCCCCGGAGGCCTTGAGCAAGCTCGCCCAACTCTGGCTCGGCCCTGGTGGCACATTGGTACGTGCCTGCCTGCTGCGTCAATCCTGAGCCCTGTGCCAGCTGGCCCCGAGAAAGGGAAACGGACCGCGCCCTGCAGAAGATTCCATTCTAACGTACAGAGCTGGGCCTGGGCCTGTGGCCCCCTCCCCTGCTCGGCAGCTGCCTGGCCCAAACCACTTCTCTTTGAGGGGGAAAGTGAGGCCCGGGGAGGGGAGGGCTTCGCCCGACACTGGGGCAGGAGGGGGATGGTAGTCCAGAAAGGGTCCATGTAGAGAAGGTGGTGCCCAAGCTGAGTCTTCCACAAACAGAGGTCTTTGATGAGGGGGTGGGGAGGGGAGAGGTACTCCTGGCGTGGGCAATGGCCCGGACAAAGGCTCAGAGGTGGGAGACGAGTGCTCTGGGAGACATCATCCCATCCGTGAGCTGGCACTGATTCTGAGCGGAGAGCCTGGGGTGCCGGGCCAGGCCCCAGAAAGCTGGCGGGGGCCAGGGTGGGGCCAGCAGGGACTGACCCCAGTGCACACTGCCTCTGCCCCACAGCCCATGAAGCCTCTCAAGGCCGCAGCCACCACGTCCCAGCCGGTGCTGACGGGGCAGCAGATCGAAACCATTTTCTTCAAGGTCCCTGAGCTCTACGACATCCACAAGGAATTCTACGATGGGTTGGGGCCCCGTGTGGAGCGCTGGAGCCAGCAGCAGCGGGTTGGCGACCTCTTCCAGAAGCTGGTGAGGGCTCTCACCTGCCCACAAGGCCTTGCCCCATTAATAGCCGGGATCCTGCCAGACACAGTGGGAGGGTCGGGGGGCTTCCCGAGGCATTCCTCCCATCTCCCCAGCGGAGGAACCGTGGTGATTACACCCGGTCCCAGCCGACATCGCTGGGTCAGCGTGGTCCCAGGAGCTCAGGCCTGCAGCCCTATTTACAGAAGAGAAGCTGCCCTGCCTTGCTGCCCACAGAGCCCCGATCCTGCGTTCCATCCCTCTGCAACGCTGCCACCTGTCCTCTGGATGGATGGAGCTGGCGGCCCAGCGGGGCTTCCACCACTGCCAGGTTTTCCAGGGGACGAGGGAGTAGGGAGAAGGAGTAGGGAAGGTGGAGGGCAGAGTGCCCCAGAGGAGCGGCTCCCTGCAGGAAAGGCACTGCCCCTGCCCCAGGGGCCCAGTCATCCCTGTTGCTGGCCCTGGAGTGAGTGCCATGAAGACCCATGAGCCCATGAAGCACCCTGGGCCTCTGACTCCCCCCTGGACTTGGTGTCCAAAGCTCCTGCCCTTGTTAGCGCTGGGGTCATGAGCAGACCAGCGTGGGCGAGGGTGAGTGGACCGACTTCCTGGCGGATGAACGCAGCCAGGGACATGTTTAGACTCATAGGAGAAGGCCTGATAGCTCCCAGCTGCGGCATCCAGGGGTCTGGCAGGCGGCCTCCTCTAGGCCGCTCCTGGCCAGCTGTGGGTGGGGACAGGGACAGGCCAGTCCTTGTGGCCGGCGGCAGATGCCAGTCCATGGGCAGGGCCAGGGAGGGGCTGCCCAGGGTGGCCCACACTATGCCAGGTTGTTTGTCCCTGGACCCCAGGCCCGGGCAGGAGAGCATGCTTGTGGGTGGAGGTGGGGGTGGGGCAGGGGCAAAAGCTGGAGTGGTTTGGGTTCTTTCTCTTTGCCTGAGCTCTCTCCAAAGAGCCGACCAGGCATCGCCAGAAACCTGCTGTGGTCAGCTAGCTTTGGGGCTCCTCTCCAGTGCAGGGGGCGTGGGGAAGATAGGGTCAACTGAGGCAGCCTCCTCAGGGCCTCTCGGCCGCTGACCACCTGGGCCACCCTTCGAGTGTGTGCTACTCGTGGGGGGGCCTCAGGCCCCCAGAGGGACAGTGAAGCCGGAAGCTGCCCGTCAGCCCCTCCCTCCCCTGCCCTTGCTTGAGTCTTTTCCTTCATTGCTGGGCTATGCTGGGGATCCTGCTCTCTGGCCACCCCAGAACTCTGACGGGCACCCATCCTGACCCGCTCCAGCAAGGTGGCTTCCCCTGGACTTTTTCTAGTCCCTGGTCCCTGGCAGAGACCCCCTCGCCCTCCATGCAGACACCTGCCTTTCCTTTGTGGCTGCTCAGGGAGGGTCATGGAGGGAAGAGGGCAAGTCAGCTACCCCAGCTCCGCACCTCCCCTGTTGTGGAAAGGCCTGGTCAGTCCTGGGGAGCGCCTGCCCACAGGACCAGTGGCCATCTGTACCCGTCATCTGGGTGCAGGACGCAGCAGGGCTCTGGCTGGCCCTCTGGCCATGAGGTGGAGCCCCACTCCGGCTGAATGCTGGCCTCACCTGTCCTCTCTCCCACAGGCCAGCCAGCTCGGAGTGTACCGCGCCTTTGTGGACAACTATGAGGCCGCCATAGAGATGGCAGACAAGTGCTGCCAGGCCAACGCCCAGTTTGCCGAAATCTCTGAGGTAGTGCTCTCCCGCTGAGGTGTGAACCCGTGTGCCTCTGGCTCTGCTCAGCCCTGGTCCCTGACCTGCAGGGGCCCTCCCCCAGCTCCCCCCCTTCTCTCCCCCACCTTTGCCCTGCCCCACCCCAGGCCCCTCTGCCCTGCTCCAGGCCCCAGACCCCCCTGCCTCCAGCCTCTTCCCAGGCCCCCAGCCCCACCCCCGGACCCCTCTGCCCTGTTCCTGGCCCCAGGCCCCTCTGCCTCTAGCCTTTCTTGGGCCCCCAGACCTGGCTCTGATCATGCCTCTAAGCCTTCAGTGACCCCTGACCTTGGCCCTCTGCCCTCTGCCTCCTCACTGGCCTCCAGAGCCCCTGGGTATTTGCCAGCCCTTCCCCACTCTCCCCCTACCCCTCTGCTGTCTGGCCTCCTCAGCCCTGGCTTATATGTATGAGGAAGGGGAGCCTTGAGCTGCGTCTAGAAGGAAGCCAGGATTCTAAGGAGGAGGTGCACAAAGACAGCGAGGGCAAAGACCCTGGGGTGGGAGATGGAGGTGATCCAGGAGGACCTTACCTCCTTGCTTCAGCAGCCCAGAGTGGGCTGCATGGAGCCTGCTGAGGCTTCTGCCCAGCCGGGGGCCCCCCCCCACTGTCTCTCAGGCTGACCCCCGTCCCCAGCACTGAGGAAGATCCCCGGGACCTGGCCTCCCACCCCATCCCTGAGGCTGGCCCCCGTCCCTAGTACTAAAGAAGCCCCCTGGGGCCTAGCTGTCCCTGGGGCTGGCCCCCATCCCTAGCACTGAGGAAGCCCCCCGGGGCCTGGCTGAGCTCTGAGCATCCTGGATAACCCAATCTGTTGCTCTCCGGCCATGACCTAGGCAGGGTGGGCTGGCGATGCCCCCCCCCCTTCACTGTCCCTGGGGCTTTTCCCCGCCCCTGCCCCTGGGACCCCCCTGAGCTCCAGGCTTGGCATTGGCCTGGCTCGGCTCCACCTCAGTCATTTCCTTTTCAGAATCTACGAGCCAGAAGCATGAAGGATTCCAAGGATCAGACAACCAAAAACTCTTTGGAAAGTGAGTGTCAGCCATCCGCCAGAGGGTCCCTCAGGGGTAGGGGTGCTGGGGCTGGGGCAAGGCTTCCTTCTCTTGGGAGGGTGGCATTACTTTGTTGGAAGGAAGAAAGTAAGGCAGTGAGAATGGAGCTGCTTCACCTGAGGCCCCTGGCCACTCAGCAGTGAGAGTGGGTGCCTTTCTGTGAGCAGGCCGGGCTGTGCAGGGCCCTCATCCCCCTAGCCAGGCCTTCTCCGAGCCTTCGTTTCTGAGGCTAAAAGCAAGCCGCTTCCCAGTCACGTATGACCCCCAGAGCAGGCAGGCCCAGCCAGCTTGTCCTGCTCAGTCCTTAGGGGTCCTCACGGCCAGGGCGCAAGGGAGAGGCTGGCCTGACCATCCTCCCCCCTCCCCTCTGTCCTCAGCTCTGCTCTACAAGCCTGTAGACCGAGTGACCCGCAGTACCCTGGTCCTCCATGTAAGTCCACAGAGAAGGAGGGTGGGTGTGTTTGTGTGTATTGTGCATTATGAGGCTGGGTCCTGGGTGCAGGGGTGGGCATTACTGGGTGAGCACAGTGGAGGGTAGCGCGCCATCTCTGCCATCTTCATCACACCAGGACATCTTTAGGGAAAGATTGCGCCCCCTCCCCCCCCACGTTGGCCAGCTTTCAGGGTTGCTGCGTCTCCTTTCCATTTCTCTTCCCGCCTGCTTGTGTTGCCATGGTGGGCTTGCCACTTGCTGCTCTGCTGACCGCTTACCGTGGCCCCTCCCCTCCCTCAGCTTCGCGGTCCCCTTCCACCATAGACTCGGCAGCCTCCGAGGCCCGAGCAGAACTGGAGCTCGTGGCATGGTTACCCACCGGCGGGGGCTCGCAGAATCTGAGCCAGCTTCTGTAGAGTGCAGCCTGACAGAGTCTGACAGACAGACAGACTGAGCTCTGCCATACCCCCGCCAGGAAACCCTCCAGTCCATCCATGAGCATTGATTAAACGCCTTTTGGATGCCCTGCTATCACTAGGGACTGAGGAGGCGCAGACCAGCTGATGGAGGATGCTGCAGGGGAGACAGGCCCGGCCTCTGGGCAGGAGGCCCTGCTGCCCACCCCCCTCACCCCCTCATCGCCGTGTTTTCTCCCTGGGCACAGGACTTGCTGAAGCACACCCCTCCCAGCCACCCCGACCACCCCCTGCTGCAGGACGCTCTGAGGATCTCCCAAAACTTCCTGTCCAGCATCAATGAGGAGATCACGCCCCGGAGGCAGTCCATGACGGTCAAGAAGGGCGAGGTGAGTGCGCCTTTGCACACGTGTGCAAGCAAGCAAACAAGTGAGGAAGTGAGTGAGTGAGTGAGTGAAGAAGTGTGCGCGCGAGCAAGAGTGCAGGTGAGGAAGTGTGTGAGTGAGGAAGTGAGCAAGTGTGTGGGTGAGGGAGTGAGCAAGTGTGCAGGTGAGCAAATGTGCAGGTGAGGAAGCAGTGCGAGGGAGCAAGTGTGCAAGTGTGTGGGTGAGGGAGTGTGTGGGTGAGGAAGTGAGCAGGTGTGCGGGTGAGAAAGTGAGCAAATGTGAGTGAGGAAGTGAGCAAGTGTGCGGGTGAGGAAGTGAGCAAATGTGAGTGAGGAAGTGAGCAAGTGTGCGGGTGAGGGAGTGAGCAGGTGTGAGGGTGAGGAAGTGAGCAAATGTGAGTGAGGAAGTGAACAAGTGTGCAGGTGAGGGAGTGAGCAAGTGTGCGGGTGAGGAAGTGAGCAAGTGTGCAGGTGAGGGAGTGAGCAGGTGTGAGGGTGAGGAAGTGAGCAAGTGTGCGGGTGAGGAAGTGAGCAGGTGTGAGGGTGAGGAAGTGAGCAGGTGTGCAAGTGAGGAAGCATGCAAATGAGTGAGCAAGCATATGAGAAAGTGAGCAGACATGTGGGTGAGGAAGTGAGCAAGTGTGCAGGTGAAGAAGTGAGCAAAAAGAGGAAGTGAGCAAGTGTGCAAGTAAGGAAGTGAGCAGGTGTGCAGGTGAGGAAGCCCACGAGCAGCGATGGGGCACATCAGGGGAGTCCGGGTGCTGGCAAGGGCTGGCGTTCATCGCCTCCCTGGAGGGCCAAGGCCAGAACCACGCTCTGGTTGGGGGAGGTGCCCGACGTGGCTCAGGCGGTCCAGAGAGGGAGGGAGGTCTGGGGACACAGAGGCTGGGTGCGTGTCTGCCCACTTGATTCTCCTCCCCAGGCTGTTGTGTGCAAAGCTGGCCTTTACTAGGATACTAAGTGCTCAGAGAGCTGGGGCCTGCACGTCCGTCCCTTGAGCTGAATCCCTCCTGTTATGCTCTCCCCAGTCCCTCTTGCATGCTTTCGTTCATGGGGAGCTCACGATCTACTGAAGTAGCTGCCCACTCTGTTTCTGGAGTGCATTAAATACTGTGGATCAATGAGTCGGCCAGCAAACACTTGTTCAGCACCTTCAGTGTGCTGGGCCCTGTTCCCTGTCCTCAGGAAGCTGACATTCACCAGGAAGACAGCATGCTCACAGAGAGGTCGGCGCAAGCTATGGACAAAACAGAATGATTTCTGGAGCGGGGAGAGGGAGGTTGCTGATGGAGAAATCAGGCCAGGCTTCAGGGTGGAGTGGGCCCAGGAACAGAGGCTGGTTCTGATAGGCAGAGGGGAACGGAGGGTGCATCCTGGAGTGGGGCACAGCCAGTGCAAAGGCATGCAGGCTGGAGATGGGGAGATGCATACAGAATTGGTCCGGTTTGGCTGGACGTCGGCCGTGTGATCCTGGCTGGACGTCGGCCGTGTGATCCAGGCGGGGGTTACTCTGCTTGGCGGCAGTGACACAGTCGGGGTCGTGGGACCGTGGAGTACTGGGTCACTGGCCAGAGGGGAAGGAGGCCCAGGGCCAGGGCTGGACATGGCTGGCCTCCAGGGAGACCGCGTGGAGGGCTGCCCTGGTGGGTTTTGCCATGGATAATCCGAGATGCGGCGGGAGTTGGGAGTCCTAGGTGTGAATCCCCCCCAGACACTAGCTGTATCACCCTGAAGATGTCCCTTCCCCTCATCTATAAAATGGGCACGAGGCTGCTGTGTGTCTAGCAGTCTTCTCACGTCCATCATGAGGAGTGCGTGCCCAATGCGTGAGGGCAGCCTGGCACCCGCGGCCCTTGGCCGCTTCGTCGGCGGACCTCGGAATGGGGGAGCGAGGTGGCTGAGTGGGAGGGGATGCCCATGGCTGGCTTTGTCAAGCCTGCAGCCTCCACAGGAGTCCCCATCCTGGGCTAGCGGGCAGAGGGGGCTTTGGGCCTCAGTCAGGGATGTCCACAGGAGAATGCAGCTCCAACCCTGACCCGCCAGCTTCCTGGCCCCAGCAGCATGAGCCGTCCCATCTGGAGGGCCCGGTGTCGGGGATCCCTCTGTCCTGTCTCCAGAAACATCTTTCAGCCCAGGATTAGCGGATTTGAACAGATGGCATTGGGCACTCAGTTTGCAGAGAGGGAAACTGAGACAGAGGCCCGTGCAGGACCAAGCTTCTGGCTCCTGCTTCAGTGGCCTCTGGGTGAGATCAGAGTTTGCCTCGCCTGACCAGCAGGGCAGACATCGGTATCTGGGGAACCCTGATGTGAGGGCCTACCTTGTGCAGCAAGCACAGGCCTGAGAGAAATGTCCGTCCTTGGGCAGAGGTGGATGGCAGTCGGCCCCCAGGGTTGGCCAGGGGCTGGGCTCCCTAGGTGTGAGCTACTGCAAGTGGGGTCAGAGCCAGGGAGGCGCCTCCAGAGTAGGCCTGCGGGTGCGTTTCCCGTGGTTCCCCCTTCCCCCATGCTAATTGTGTCCTGGTCTGTGCTTGCTGTCCCATCTCAGCCTTTGCCCTGGCCGACCCTCTGGCCTGGAACATGCTCCCCCTCTTCTCTGCCTCTTAGAATCACAGCATCGTTCAAGGCTCAGCTTAGATGCCTGCTCTGATGGGAAGGCCCCTTTTCTGCAGTGGTTACTGCCCCCCTCCCCCCTCCTCCTCAGACCATGCTAGAGACCTTTCCCCTTCCAGAGAACAGGAGCTCTCTGAGGGCAGCCATCCCGTGCCATGGTACCTTGCATGTGTGTGTGAGGGGGTGGGTCCTGGGTGCAGGTGTGGCTATTTGTGGGTGTAGATGCACATGTGTGTGCTGGTGGGGAGGGGATGTGTGCACGTGTGTGTATGCGTGGCATCAGTGGGCTCCGTCAGACTCACGCCCCCAGCTCCAGGCATGGGCCCCCCCACTGCCAGCTGCCAGCTCTGGGCAGCTCGTTCCGCGGTCATGCTGGCAGCCTCTCCTCACCGGCTATTTGCTCCCTTGCTTAGCACCGGCAGCTCTTGAAGGACAGCTTCATGGTGGAGCTGGTGGAGGGGGTGCGCAAGCTGAGGCATGTCTTCCTCTTCACCGACCTCTTCTTGTGTGCCAAGCTCAAGAAGCAGATGGCCGGGTGAGCACCCCCCCCCGCCCACCCTGACCCAGCCCAGCCCAGCCTCCTGGGCTCTGCCCCCAGCACACCCTGACCCCAGCCCAGCCCAGCCCCTTGGGCCCTACCCTTGACCCACCCTGACCCCCTGGGCTCTGCCCCCAGCACACTCTGACCCCCTGGCCTCTGCCCTTGACCCACCCTGACCCCCTGGCCTCTGCCCCTGGTCCACCCTGACCCCTAGGCTGTGCTCTCAGCCCAGCGCCCCGGACTCTGCCCACAGCCCCATCAGTTCTGTTACGTCAGAGTCTAGTTCTAGGCCCCAGGCTCCTACTGCCCCTCTCCCCAGCACTGCCAGTGCCAAGAGCCTTCCAGGCCACAGTGGGAGGGGGCCCAAGGTAGGGCCTCATGCTATGAACTACTGGGGTCCAGAGTGGATCCCCTAATCTGTACTCTTTACATCTGGGGAAACTGAGGCCCCTGAGTTACAGGATGCCCTAGGCAGGCTGGGCTTCCAGCAGATGATCTCCAAGCTCTGCCATGTCAGATGCCACCTTCAGGGCAGTCCGGGCCTTGGCCTTTCAGCAGGGCGGCCCGTGCCCAAGGTCCACGGTGAACCTCCATCTTGTCTCCCTTCCAGGAAAAACCAGCAGTATGACTGCAAATGGTACATCCCCCTCACGGACCTCAGCTTCCAGACCCCCTGGACGAGGCCGAAGCGGTGCCCACCATTCCCCTGGTGCCAGATGAGGAGCTGGACGCCATGAAGATGAAGATCTCTCAGATCAAGAGTGACATTCAGCGAGAAAAGGTCAGAGCCGGCCCAGGGAGGCCTCGTAGGGGGTGGAGCATGGGGCTGCTGCTGAATGTCAGACCCCAGCCCCCTTCGCTTGGCATCTGCCAGAGGACCCTGCCCTGAGAGTCTCCTCCATAGCCCAGCTGGCCAGTGGCTGGCCAGCTTCTGGGGGAGGAGGGCAGGGGCCTTCTGGGGGGGGCAGGGGCAGGGGGCCTCCCGAGGTGCTATGGTGGGACGGTGGCTGCTGTCCAACCATGGGGGGGGGGTGTCTTTGAATGATTGCCGGGTAGCCCCTGGCTGGGCTGCAGCCTGGGCCAGTGGGCCCCTGAGGTCCCTTCAGTGGGGAGATTGTGTGATTCTGGGGGCCAGGACCTTCCCCTTGGGGGGCACTCCCTCCCACAGCTCCAGGGCCCTCCAGGGCCAAGCTGGACAGGCTGACCCCCCTCCACATAACCTTGGACCTTGGTCCTCACATCCCCCCCAAGCTCAGCCAAACCATCCCTTCTCCAGGCTCAGCGTCCCCTGGCCTGGACTCTAGACCCTCCTCCATCCTGGTAGCGCCCCTCTCGGTGCCCTCCCCATCTTACAACGAGCCCGTCCTGCAGATGGCTGGGCTGACCAGGGCAGAGGACAGTGGGACTGCCCCCTCCCCAGCCCCAGGAGTTCAGCCCAAGATGGGGGGGGGGCTTTCTGGGTGGCCATGGAAGCTGCTGGCTCACAGCAAGCTTGGCCCTAGCCGGGCCTCCCCCAGCCTCCCCCGGCCTTTGGAGCCAAATGGAAGACCACATTGACCCAAGGTGCCTCCTGCCTCTCTCCTCCCCCTGGCCACTGACGCCAGGCCCAGCCCAGCTCCCCGGGGAGCCAGGGGCTGCCCCGAACCATCCCTGAGCCCCTCCCCCTCCCCCCAGTGACTCCCGCCCCAGCGGGCTGACCCAGGCTCTGTCTTCCTCAGAGGGCAAACAAAGGCAGCAGGGCCGTTGAGAGACTCAGGAAGAAGCTCTCGGAGCAGGAGTCTCTGCTCCTGCTGATGTCCCCGAGCATGGCATTCAGGGTCCACAGCCGCCATGGCAAGGTAGGCCCACGCGCAGGTAGTGGCCCGGCCCGGCCCTGCACTGGCTGTGCTAGAGGAGAGACTGAGAGATGACGAGTCTCAGGAGGTCTCAGGCGAGGAGAGAGCACGCCGGCCGGGGCCTGCGAGGCAACGGGGCCGGCGAGGCGACAGGGCCCGCTAGGCGACGGGGCCAGCATACTGCTGCCACTGGGGAGTCAAAGATGGAGAAAGGAGCAGTCCCTGCCCTCAAGGCCCTTCTAGTCTTATCACAAGCCAGGGAGGGCTCCTTAGGGAGGCAGGGACACAGAGAGGCTGGGATGCGGAAAGGCTGGTATGCAGAGACAGAGAGGCTGGGATGAGGATAGGCTGGGATGCAGAGACAGAGAGGCTGGGATGAGGAGAGGCTGGGATGCAGAGAGGCTGGGATGAGGAGAGGCTGGGACGCAGAGGCAGAGAGGCTGGGATGTGGAGAGGCTGGGATGCGGAGAGGCTGGGATGTGGAGAGGCTGGGACGCAGAGACAGAGAGGCTGGGATGAGGAGAGGCTGGGATGCAGAGAGGCTGGGATGCAGGAGAGGCTGGGACGCAGAGGCAGAGAGGCTGGGATGCGGAGAGGCTGGGACGCAGAGGCAGAGAGGCTGGGATGAGGAGAGGCTGGGATGCAGAGGCGGAGAGGCTGGGATGAGGAGAGGCTGGGACGTGGAGGCAGCGCCCTGACAGGCAGTTCCTTAGGGAGGCAGGGATGCGGAAGCCTCTTCTGCTCTCTGCTCTCCCTCCCCACCCTTGCCTGACCCAGCCCTTCCCTTAGAGGATGTACTTGAAGTTAAGGGTTGGGAATGGGCACCACCTGCTGGGCCTGGAGTCAGGAAGACCTGAGTTCAAATCCAGCCTTAGGCCATGGGACCCTGGGCAAGTCTTGTCAGGTCCTAAGTGCTGGGGACACAAAGAGAGCCCCAAGCCAGCCCTGCCCTCCATGGGGAGACAACAGGCAGTTAAACTGATCCCAAGCCAACTATGCAGAGGCTGAACAGACCCTGGGGTTAGGAGGGGCTGAGGAGGCTTCCTGGAGGAGGTGGGAGTGGAGCTGCGACTTGGAGGTCAGGAGAGGGAGCAGAGACAGGAGAGTGTTCCAGGTGCGATGGACAGCCTCAGTTTGCTCACCTGTAAAATGGGGCCAACAATAGAATCTCTCTGTCGGGGCAGTGGTGAGGACCCAATGAGGCGCGGTCTGTAAAGGGCTCTTGGCGGCCTGGCCGAGCCCACAGTGATGGGGGCTGGGTCTGTGTTCTGTTCTAGAGCTATACTTTCCTCATCTCCTCTGACTATGAGCGCGCAGAGTGGAGGGAGAATGTCCGCGAGCAGCAGAAGAAATGTGAGTGGCTGTGCCCCGACCCCCAGCCTCGAGTCTGCCTCTTACTGCGGAGTAGCCACCGGCCTCCCTTCCCGAAAGGCCCAGTCAGGTCACCACGGCTGGGCTGAGGGGGATGGCCCCAGTCCTTGCCAGCCCCACTTTGCCACGTGTCATTTTTCAGCGCCTTGGGCTTCCTGGCTCCTGACCCCGACCCCCTTCAGAGGGTGTTGGGTGGAACCCTCTGGCCCCCTTGCTCCAGATTCATGACTTTTCAGTGTCTTCTCTGTCCTGGCCTTGGGATGTCCTTCCATTGTGATACAACCACTCCTCTGTGCCTAGTCCCACCCCCTGCTGCTGCCTTCAGGCCTCTGTAGACCTCCTTCCCTCATCTGTTGTCTGTCTGTCTCTGTCTCCATTTCTGTTCATCTCTCGATGTCTCTGTCTCTTTCTCTTTCCTGTATCTGGTTCCTTCACTGCCTGCCTGGAGAAACCCTCAGTCAGGGAAGCAGAAGCATAGAGTAGGAAGTGTGTCCCCCTCCTGTTCTTGCAAGGGGCTCCTGGATGCCTCTCCGAAGAAGTGGGCGTCTGCCTCTGAGGCCTCCTGGTCCACCTTGGCACTGCTTTCCCTACTGGCAAGCTTGTGCTAACATCTAGCCTGACTCTGTCCCTGTAGTTGCTGTCCAGGGTTCCCTGTTCTGTGATGGGGCCTTGACCCATCCATCCATTTATCCATCCATCCATCCATCCTTCCATCCATCCATCCATCCATCCATCTATCCATCTGTCCATCCATTCATCTATCTGTCCCATCCATGTATCTCATCCGTCCATCTCATCCATCCATCCATCCATCCATCCATCCATCCATCTATCCATCTGTTCATCTATCTGTCCCATCCATGTATCTCATCCATCCATCTCATCCATCCATCCATCCATCTCTCCCATCCATCCATGCATCCATCTGTCCATCTGTCCATCCATCTATCTGTCCCATCCATCCATTCATCTGTCCATTCATGCATCCATCTATCTCTCCCATCCATCCGTCCGTCTGTCAATCTATCTCTTCCATCCATCCATGCATCCAGCCATCTGTCCATCCATCTGTCCCATCCATCATCCATCTGTCCATCCGTTCATCTATCTCGTCCATCTGTCCGTCCGTCACCCTAATACTGTCTGAGCCTGCCTCTCATGTGCCAGCTACTGAGTCGGGCACTGGAGACACCAGGGCAGAGGAACCATCCCCTGCTGCCCTCATGGAGCTCCCATTCTAGTAGGGGAACCACAGAAAGTAGGAGAGTCAATGCAGAAGACGTCTCCATAACTGCCACGTCACTCCCGGGTCTGAAAGGGAGTGCGGGACTGTGTGGGGCAGGAGGAGGGAGGATGCATGCCAGGGCAGGGTCACTGCCTGAGCAGAGGCACAGATGCAGGAACTGGCGGGGCAGCAGGGCTACGGCCAGGAGTGGCGAGGGGATGCCGGTGTGCAGCAGGGGCCGGACGAGTCGGTCTGTATTTACCCAGGAGGCCGCAGGAGCCGCTGAAGCTGAGGGACGTGGTCAGACCTGTTGCTTTGGGCCGGCTGCTGTTGTCAGCTTGTGGCAGGGAGAGCAGAGGCTACCATGATGGGCCAGGAGAGGGGAGATATCTGTTACGCACCCTTTCCGTGCCAGGCATCCCGCTGAGCGCTGGAGGGGATGGGTGCCAGACAGCGGCTGTGGGTGGAGAGAAGGGGACGATGGAGGAGGAGGTGTGGAGGCCAAGTTGTGCAGGATGACCCCTAGGCTGGGAGCCTGTGGGCCTGGGAGGAAGGCGGAGCCCAAGACAGAAATAGGGAAGGTAGGAGGGGGAAAGATCATGACGTGTAAGGTGTCCGCTGGACGTCCACTTGGAAATGTCTGAGACGCAGCTGGAGATGCGAGACTGGAGGTCAGCAGAGAGATCGGGGCGGGACAGGGAGGTTTGAGAATCATCAGCACAGAGATGGTCATTCAATCCATGGGGGCTGCTGACATGACCCAGAGCAGTGGGACGGAGGGAGAAGGGCAGAGGGCCCAGGACCCTCTGGGGGACGAGAGGGTGTGGCCAGGAGGAGTCTCTGCCAGCAGCCACTCCCACAGTTAGGGGTCTGGCCCGGGGCAGGGGCCACAGGGACTGTCCCTGCCCTCCCCAGGCCTGGACACAGGCCCAGGGTGCCAGGCTTTGGAGGTGGGGGAAGAGCCAGGTTCCAGGCTGGCTGCAAAGCCTTGGCACACTGGCCAGCCCACTGGCTTTAGGGGAGTGAGTCTGAGATGCAGGAGGGCCCCCTCTGGGTACACATCTAGCTGGAAGCTGGTGACGGGTCCAGAGACGAGGGGGCTTTAAGCATGGGGGACGGGCTGGCATAGGGGCAGGGGGCACGTGTGCACGAGCCCGGGCAAGGCTGTGACCTGAGGCAGAGGCACAGACAGAGGCCAGAGGATGCCACAGATATGCTGGCCGTGGGTGTCTGGCCAGCAGCTCGAGCCCCAGCTGGGTCTGTGTCGCGCAGGCCCGGCCCCACCGCTCACATGGGCTGCTTTCTCCTGCCAAGGGTCTCCCAGAAAGAGCAGAGAGCCCTGCCCCTGCCGCCCTGGACCACCTTCTGTCCCCTCTTCTTGGCCTGTCTGGTTGCCCCCAGCTGTCTGACTTCACTTTCTTGCTCACTCTGGTTGAGGGTCTTCAATCCCCTCCCCATTCCCCTAACTACCCTCTGGGCCCCTGGGTTGGGGCACCGGCCTCCCCCGGCAGGCCTGTCCGTGTGTTCCGCCGTGCCTCCCCCTCCGGCCCCCAGGAGGAGCCATGAGGGGCCCCCACGGCTGGGCAGCCACATACGGGGGCCTCCGCACAGGCCGTGTCTGACGGCTCTGCCCGTTGCCCCCAGCTTTGCCTTCTCCCCACACAGGTTTTAAGAGCTTCTCTCTGACCTCTGTGGAGATCCAGATGCTGACCAACTCCTGTGTCAAGCTGCAGACGGTCCACCACATCCCTCTGACCATCAACAAGGAGGGTAGGGAGGCCTCGGCTTCGTCCTGCTCCCCTTCCCACAGCCCAGGCCGCCAGGGATGGCTCCCTCCCTCCCTCCTTCCCTCCCTCTTCTCTCTCCCCCTCCCCCTCCCCCTTTCCCCTGCCCCAGGCCACCATCACTGTGTCCCTCACTCTGAGCCCCTTTTCTTGCCCAGATGACGAATCCGCCGGACTCTATGGATTCCTGAACGTCATTGTCCATTCAGCCACGGGATTCAAACAGAGCTCAAGTAAGTGAGAGCTCTGGGAAGGGGGCAGCTCCCCACCAGCTTCTTGGGGTGCGGAGCAACACCTCATAAACCAGCCACGCCTGGCAGCAGCCATTGGGCCTTTTCCCAATTCACGTGGAACTGAGGATGTGGCCTGGGTGTGGGAGCTCCCTCCACGCCCAGGCAGGTGACAGCAGGGATGCCCATGGTCCCCCACATGAGCGGGCACTGGCCTGTCCCCGGGCACATGGTAACTGGTGGCTCCAGGTGTGGGGTGAGAAGGCTCTGCAAAGGCTCGGAGGAGGGAGATGAGTAGCTTACCTTAAAGCCAGAGGACACAAAGTGTGATGGGGAAGGGAGAAGGGATGGACCGTGGCGAATCTGTCCTGAAGGCCCGAGGGGGCCACTGGAGTGGGCTGAGTAGGGGGTGCCATGGTCAGACTTTGGAGGCTGAGTGGAGGGGGGAGACCGAGGCAGGCAGCCCTGCCCCCAGCAGTGATCAGCACAGTCCAGATGGATGGGATGATGGTCTGCGCCAGGCTGGGAGCAGGGGCAGAGGAGGGGGCTGGGGAGTTCCCGAGATGCTGCAGAGGTCAAGGTGACACTGACAGGCCATGGTGCCATTTTGGATCTGGGGTGAGAGCAGGAGGAGCCCCAGATCACCCCAAGGCAGGGAGCCCGAGGGCCTGGGAGGATGGGGGGCCCTCTCCAGTCGTGGGGAAGCGTGGAAGACAGACAGGCCAGGGAGACCGAGGGAACCAGTTCTGCTTTGGACATATTGGGTTTAAGAAGTCCATTGGGTGTCCAGTTGGAGAAGCGAGGTGGAGGTCAGCAGAGAGGTTGGGGCAGGACCCAGAGGTGGTCGTTCAGTACATGGAGGCTGATGAAGTCACCCAGAGCAGTGGGACCGAGGGGGGAGGGCACAGTCTGGGGGGAGAGGACGTGGCCCAGAGGAGGAGGGAGCCAGAGAGGGAGCCTGGGCAGGGGTGACTGCCGGGGAGCACTGTATGAAGAAAGCCCCTGGAGAAGTGAGTCTCAGCTCGGGGCCGGCACCCCTGAGAATGTCACCCCCAGGGCACTGCCGCCCGGGCCAGATGAAGATGAAGCAGGTGCCGTTCATCAGAAGAAACAAAAGGGACGTTAGGGATATGGCCGCTCGGGGCCCTCAGCCTTGTCCTGGCTCCCCTTCACATCTGCTGCCCTCCCGTGCGGGGTGCAGGGCAGACCGGGCCCACATCTGCTCCCCTGTGCTGCCCAGTCTAGGCTTGGGTCCCAGGGACCCTTTCCTCCACCTTGGGAAGCGCAAAAGATGAAGGAGGCGAGTGGGGCCATCCTAAGCTCCCCAAACTGCCAAGTCTTTGGTAGAGCAAGGGGGCTCCAGTGGGGGTCTGGATAACTGGGGCCCCCCGTGTCTGTGAGGCCTAGGGACAGCCCTCCAGTGGGGGTCTGGATAACTGAGGCCCCCCGTGTCTGTGAGGCCTAGGGACAGCCCTCCAGCGGGGGTCTGGATAACTGAGGCCCCCGTGTCTGTGAGGCCTAGTGAGAACGCTCCAGTGGGGGTCTGGATAACTGGGGCCCCCCGTGTCTGTGAGGCCTAGGGAGAGCGCTCCAGCGGGGGTCTGGATAACTGAGGCCCCTGTGTCTGTGAGGCCTAGCGAGAGCGCTCCAGTGGGGGTCTGGATAACTGGGGTCCCCTGTGTCTGTGAGGCCTAGCGAGAGCGCTCCAGTGGGGGTCTGGATTGCTGGCCACCCCATGGGTTCCCAGGTGGCTGGGCCTGGGCCTGGTGCTGGGCTCCTCATCCGCTGGGCCTCCCAGCTCTCCCCAAGCCTGCTCGTCTTCCTTTGCTGTCCTCTTTCTTTGGGGAGCAGCAGGAGGGTGACCCTGGCCAGGGCCCGTCACTGCTGCCTGCCTCAGTTTCCTCATTTGTAACATGGGGGTCACAGTTGCTTCTCCCCTCCCAGGACTGTCATGAGGATAAACAAAATAACACTTGCCACGTGCTTTGCAAACCTTCATTAGCTTCCATTTGCTGGTATCATCGCTGTTATTACGCTTGCGCCTGGGGCCAGTGAGCCGCTGCGTAGAGCCTAGTCTCAGATTGAATGTCGGCCTGCGGAAGTGGGAGAGCGTCCTTAGTGTCTGAGGGCCGTCCCAGGGACGGAAGCCGGGCCCGATGGCGGGGGGCAGGGAACCGCAGAGCGGTAGGTTCTGGCTCAGTGTCAGAGAGGACCCTGTCCCCTGAGGGGCTGTGACAGGTAATGAGCTCCCCATCCCCAGAGGTCTCCAACCAGAGGCTGGCCAGCTGTGACGTCACGTGGCTCTGGGTGATGTCCCGGGGAAGGGCCTTTCTCAGCTTTAACCCTTGTGCCCTGACTGTAACTGAGGCAAAGCCTCAGGACACCACGCATGCCCTGACCATTTGGCCGCCCCCCATGTGCCCTCCTCAGATCTCTACTGCACATTAGAAGTGGATTCCTTTGGGTACTTTGTGAACAAAGCCAAGACTCGGGTCTATAGGGACACAACTGAGCCCAACTGGAATGAGGTGAGGAGGAGGGGGAGGAGAGAGGAATAGGAGGGGAGAGGGGGCACAAGAGGGAAGGGGGAGGAGGGGAAGGGGGCACAGAAGGAGTGGGGGGGCACAGGAGGGGAGGGGGGGCACAGGAGGGGAGGGAGAGGAGGGCAGCTTCTCCAGGAAGTGGCGTCTCTTCCGACCACGTCTCTGCCAAGGACGGTCTCTTCCCTGGGAGATGGTTTCCTTGACGCCCGAGGGGGCGGGGCCGCGCCAGGGCCCTGCCTGCTCTGCCCAGCTGACGCCCGCTGTCGTGGCCCTCCTGCTCATGCCCGGCTTTTCCTTCTCTCCCTGCCCGGCCACAGGAGTTTGAGATCGAGCTGGAGGGCTCCCAGACCCTCCGGATTCTGTGCTATGAGAAATGTCACAAGGCCAAGCTCAGCAAGGACGACGGCGAGCCCAGCGACCGCATGATGGGCAAAGGCCAGCTGCAGGTGAGGCCGCGCTGCAGCCCCTCCTCTGCCCGTCGTCCAGAACGCAGCCACCGGCAGGCCCAGCTCGGGGTGGGGGTGGGGGCGGAGGGGCTGAGAGCGCTGGGGAGTCCCCCCATTTCTCCCACCATTCCCCTGGCCGTCCAGGCAGGGCTCGGTGTGATGAGGACTTGGGGGCTCCTTGTGTCCAGCGCTGCCCCTCCTCCCCGGTCTCCTCTGTGGTTCCTTCTGTGGGTGCACATCCCCCGGGGCCGCTGCTGGCAGCGCTTCCTCCTGGTCGGTCTGGGCTCCTGACAGGCTGCTCTAGGCCCGAGGGGCCGTGACACTTATGGCCTGCCCAATGCAGGGTGGCAGGGGATGCCACGGACTCGGGGTCACACATGTCCGTGCCAGTCCTTCCTCTTACGGTCTCAGCCACGCCCGCGGGGGATTCTCAGGGCTTGGAAAGATTGCTACTCTGACTTGAACCTGGCGCAGACTGGGGCGGTGTGGGAGTAGAGAGGGACCTGGGGCCTCAGGAGGAGGGTGCCCGCTCCCGGGCACCGTCCATCCCTCCACACTCTGGGGTTGTTTGTCCACTCGGCCATTCCTGTGTGGATGGTGCGGCCAAGCTCTTCTTCCAAATGAGGACTGCTCCCCCCAAGAAGGTCCTGTGATGGTCTAGGGCACAGTGGGATTCCCTGGAGGGCCTTGGGTTGGGCGCTGGAAACCCCCACGGGGAGGAAACGGCAGGCGTCTCCTTGTTTGTTACCAACTGGAGACCTGAGGGTGACTGACTGAATGGCGCTCTGTGTTCCACCGTTCAGTGACCCTTGTGTGGTGGCGGCATGCGCGTGCAGGGTGCCTCGTCTGGTTTGAGGTGGGTGCACACAGAGCCCCGAGGGCCTGCTGTCTGCCTCCTCATAATCGACCGAGGGATGGCTAAGATACGGACCGCCAAGGAGGCTGGTGATAGGCTTGCCAATGTGGCCAGGTGGGGAAGCAGGCCCTGGGCAGAGGGACCGGTGTTCTCTTGGGATCCTTATGGACAGGGTCTGGACCCTCTCAGACAGGCTTTAGATCACTCTGGACAGGGTCTGGATCGTCACAGACAGGTTCTGGATCACGCTGGACAGGATTCTGGATCCTCTCAGACATGATCTGGATCTCCACGGACAGGGTCTGGACCCTCTCAGACAGGCTCTAGATCACTCTGGACAGGGTCTGGATCCTCACAGACAGGATCCAGAGATCCTCTTGGAAAGGGTCTGGTTCACTCTGGATCCTTGCAGAGAGGGTCTAGATCCTCTTGGACAAGGTCTGGATCCTCATAGACACGGGTCTTCTTGGATAGCGTCTGGATCCTCACAGATATGGTCTGGATCTCCATGGACAGGGCCTGGATCACTCTGGACGGGGTCTGGATCTTCTTGGACAGCATCCAGAGATCCTCTTGGACAGTATCTGGATCCTCACAGACATGGTCTGGACCTCCATGGACAGGGTCTGGATCACTCTAGACAGGGTCTGGATCCTTGCAGATAGGGCCTAGATCCTCTCAGATAAGGTCTAGATCACCCTGGATAGGATCTGGATCACTCTGGACAGGATCTGGATCTTCACGGACAGGGTCTGCATCCTTGCAGACAGGATCTGGATCACTCTGAACAGGGTCTGGTTCCTCACAGACAGGATCTAGATCCTCTTGGACAAGGTCTGCATCACTCTGGACAGGGTCAGGATCTTCACGGATAGGGTCTGGATCCTCACATACAGGGTCTGGTTCATTCTGGATAGGATCTGGATCCTCACAGACATGCTCTGGATCTCTACAGACAGGGAGATCTCGCTGGACAGGATCTGGATCACTTCTGGACAGAGTCTAGATCCTCCTGGACAGGGTCTGGATCTTCTCAGACAGGATCTGGAGCTCTCTGGACAGGATCTAGAGCATTCCGGACACTGTCTAGATTCTCACAGACAGGATCTCGATCCTCTCAGACAGGGTCTGGATTGCTCTAGACAGGGTCTGAATCTTCTCAGACAGAATCCAGAGATCCTCTCAGATGGGGTCTGGTTCACTGTGGACAGGGTCTGGATCCTCACAGACAGGGTCTGGATTTTTTGGACAGGATTCAGGTTGATCTTCCTTGCCTTTTCCTTTGCCACGAAGGCAGACCCCACGGTGCCTCTCGATGGACTTGCCACCTGTCCAGCCCAGATGTCCTCTTCCCTCCCTTTTCTTGTTTCCTCCTTCTCTCTATGGGTGCCTCCTGGGCACGGTGGGTGAGTTCTGGGGGGCGGTTGGCTGGCCAGGTGAGCTGAACCAGATCTGTTTGGGTTCTTCCCTGCTTGTGGCCTCCTTTGTACCCTTGGGACAACTCGGCTTGGTTGGCTTCCTCTTTCCTTGAGGGAGTTCTGCTCCTTCCTGGCACTCTCTTTCTCTAGAATTCAGTTGTCTATACATTCTAAACCCATGCAGCCTTGGCTGCGCAGTGAGAAGATGGCGCATTTGCTGGCTGAAGAGTTTTCTGGGCCCTTTGGCCTCCTTATTGTGTGGGAGGGGAGCATGGGGGGCGTTGCTATGAGGTCGGGAGGGAGAGGAAGGGTCAAGGATGACTCTGAGGAAGGCTGGTGGGCTCCTGGTGTGGGGGAGTTGGGAGGATGATCCATCTCAAGGATGGTAAGGGCAGGAGCAGGCAGGTGGAGATGTGGGACCTGAATTGTGAGGCTGAATACGTCGGGCTGTGAGCCATGTAGGAGTGGTGACAGAGGAGATAAGATCACTCAGGAATGAGGGGTACAGAGGGGAGGGTGTCTGTGGCAGAGCCTTGGGGGGCATGCAGGCTGGGGAAGATGAGGGAGGTGCCCTAGCAAAGGAGGCTGGGAGGCATTGGTCATAGAAGAAGGTGGAGACCCAAGGCCAAGGGAGATGGGGCTGGTGGCATGAAGGAGGAAGGTCAACGATGAAGAAGCCTGCAGAATCCCTGAGGATGACCAGGAAGAGTTCCTGAGAGCCGTCCTCTCAAAGCGAGGGGCCCCAGAGCCAGAGGCTGGTAAGCACGTGCTCTCTGAGAGTTTGAAAAGCAGGAAGTATGTTGGAGGCAGTGTGCTCCAGTGGAAGGAGTACTGGCATCCCAGGTCCTGAGTTGGAATCCCTGCTCTGCCACTTCCTGAGTGACTTTGGACATGGCTCTTACCTCTGCTTAGCTCCTTGGTGGCCTCCTAACTTGGTGATGTTACCACAGCAGCTTGTGGGAACAGTGGAGTCATTGGAAAGGTTAAGGAGGGGAGACCTGAGCGTGTTTGTGGAGTAAGGGAGGAGCCAGCAGCTAAGGAGAGAAGAGGGCCCGGCTGCCCAATGTACCAGCAGTTCTTGTTTATGTCATTATTCACATTTATTATACTGGCTGACATACGTGTAGGAGAGGCACATTGAGGCTACCGGGGGGACAGGAAAACTCCCCTTTGAGGGAAGACAGCATCGGCCCCAATTGGTGTGTGGCTGGGGGGGGGGGCCGACAGCCTGGGGGGAGTCTAGAAGCAGGGTGGGGGGCGCCAAAGCTGAGCCTCAAGGGAAGCTGTCCTCAAGAGGAGAGTAGGGAGAATCCCAGGCTAGCTTTGGACCCAGGGCTCCAGAAAATTGGGCTGGGAAGGCAGGAGACTCCACTCGGGGAGGGTTGGCTGGGGCTGGACTGAGCAGGGCTTTCGATGCCAAGCTGAGGACTGTGTGTCTGTCTCCTCGAGGGAGGAGGGAGCTACGGACGTTTCTGGAGTACGGAAGGTAGGAAGAGGATCCGTCATCGAGGGCTGAGACCCAGGACCCCCCAGGTCAGGCTTATCTTTTCCACAGCAGCTGCGTCTGTCAGGCAGAGGCAGACCAGCACCAAACTGGACCTTGAACACCATCCCCTCCTCCCTCCCATGGTTTCCCAGCAGAGAGTGAATCACCTGCTGCCTGGACAGCCCATAGCAAGCAGGCGTGGCCCAGCAGCATTGTTGACAGAGGAAATGACAGACCCAGGGACTGAGGGAAGGAGTGGGGGGGGGGGATGGAATCCTCCAGGCCAGGCCAGGGAGGGTGGGAACTGCCAGTTTTCCATGAGTTCTTTGTTTTTTTGGCCCCGCGTGGGCAGAAGGTCTCCTTATGCAGCGTCCAAAGTGTGGGCATCGCCAGCCTTCCTACATCAGTCCCGTGGCAGGGTGCCCTGTAGAAGGGGCCTCGGTCCCACCCGGGTCCCAGAGCCAAGGTCCAAATCCACCAGTCAGCTCACCCTTGCATATTGAACTCCTGTGTGCTAGGTACCAGGCCTGCGCTAAGCACAGGAGCCACAGGCTGGGGGTGGAGGGGGGAGCTGATTGGAGCTGGATGTTAGGAAGTAGGAGATCCATTCCACCCCAGGAGGGGGTGAGCTCCCTGTCCATGGAGGGAGGTCTGGGGGGGGGCGTGGCCAGATGAGCACCACTCAGGTGTCAGGGAGGCTGGGGGTGGGGATTCCTTTGGTGTTGGGCTGGGCCGCCAGAGGCCAGGATTCTGCAGAGTCGGTCCCTTGGGTGTGGAATGGAAGGAGCCAGCGGGGTGCTGTGCTGGGGAGGCCCTGAGGTCCCTCTGTGCGACTTGCTCCAGGGCTCCCCCGAGACAGAGCCTGGGCCACCAGGGCAGGGCCGCCGCCTGTTCTCTGACTTTGCCAGAGCTGGAGTCTGGGGAAGGCCGTGGCCCCAGGGGCCTTGCTTGTCCCGAGCTGACCATCAGCCCTGTCCAGCGCTGGCCTCCTCATTCCTCATTCCCCTTCTCCTGCCCCCTCCTCCTATGGACCTCTGTCCCCCTCTGGGATGTTCCCAAGTCCCAGGCGGCCCCAGGGCTTCCCTTGGCCAGGGATTTCCTGTTTGTCCCTCCCCGCTGGCCCATGAACTTCAGCCTTCTCATCCAGAGTCCTTCCTGTGAAGCCCGGGCTGTTCTAGAGGGCAGCCTTGGGACTCAGACAGCAGGGACCGGAGAGAAGCCATCCGGCTGGCATGGCTGCTGGGTGCCTGTGCCCACACTCGGTGAGGTGGGTGGGCTTTGCTCTCAGCCCCAGGCAGCAGCCGGTGCCCCCAGGGACATGCTTAGTGACATGGAGGCTGGGCTTTCAATCAAGCCGTCAGCATTTATTAAGTGCCTACTGTATACCAGGAACTGCGCAAAGTGCTGGGGATAAAAAAGGGGCCATCCCCATCCTTCCTCCAAGAGCTTGGCCTGCTGGGGCAGACAGCCTGCAAATGGTATCCACCAACAGACTGTGCAAGAGATAAGGGTCAGAGGGAAGGCCCCAGCCCAGCCTCTGGGGGCCCTGGGGGCAGGAGCAGGAGCCAGAAGTAGTGAGCTCCCCGTCTTGGAGGTCTCCAAGAAGGAGGAGCCCTCTTCTGAGGATGTGGAAGGTGGCAGGGGGTGGGGTCTAGCCTCCTCCGTGGCCCCTTCTGACCCTGCACGGCAGAGCTTAGCCGTAATGAAACCCGACAGAAAATGTTACTTGGCATTCCCCAGAATGGAAGCCAGGCCCTTCAGAAAGGAAACGGACCTGCTCCTATTTTTGACAACAAATAGCGTCCTGATATACGTTCCCGTAACTGTCAGCTGTGGGGGGAAACAAACACCCAGGAGAGAGGGAGGCCTGGTCTGGAGCGAGGGCGGGGCCTTCCTGAGTCCGCGCCCTAAAGCTGGCCGCGCCAGCCCTCGGCATCGCCGCCACCGCCACTCACTGCCCGGCTCCTTCCTGGGCTCCAGCGCCCCGAGGGGGAGGATGAAGGAGGTGCCCACCATTCCTGCGGCTGTGCTGGGGCTCTGCCAGAGCTGGCGGGGCCAGGGCAGGACGCTGTGGGCCCACATCCGCCACCGAATGTGCAGGGGCAAGGTTAGTGTGGCTGGGGATGCTCTGATGGGGGCAGTTACTGTTTGCTCGTCCCAGCTGCTTCCTGTCCCGAGAAAGGCCCCTGGAAGTCCTCGGGGCCAACTCTCCACACCGGGGGCCTCCCAGCAACCACTTGGACACATGGATTTATGGGGAGCTCACCTTTGTGAGCCTGGCCGGCCCGTTAGGGTGCTCTCACTGGAGGAGGGCTTCATCGTTGCCCAGTCCTGCCTCTGGGGGCCTTACAGGTCCTCTTTAGGCGGTGGGTCCCGTGGGATGGAGAAGTGGGGGCCAGCCCAGCACAGCCCAAGGAGGTGCCGCGGGGCCCTGAAGGCCTCCCCTGGGGATCAGAGCAGTGTGGTCTGCAGCAGGAGGGAGGCCAGCCTCTGGCTTGGAGCCTTCTCGTTGGGGCCGGCAGGGGGTGAAGGAGGCTTGTGGAGTAAGCCTAGGGAAAGGGGGCCGCCTTACGAGGCCACATCCATGGGGCGCCACGCTCTCTGCACCGCCACCAAAATGTGGTGCAGGGGACACAGCCTCAGCCCTCAGGCCAGGGCACCTGCCTCTGCTTCTCTGAGACCTTGGGTAAAGCCTCGTGGGCCTCAGTTTCCTCATCTGTAAGATGGAAAGGCTGGTCGAGATGGTCTCTGGGGTCCTCCTCTCTCTAGATGTATGAGTCTTCCTCTGTGGTGTTTGGGCCCATGACCTGAGGTGGCCTCTGCCTTCCCTGGGCCTTGGGCTTCCTGTGCTCAGGGACGGCTGGAAGGTGAATGACCTCAATGACTGCTGGGCCCGTTCCCAGAAGCCCTGCCTCACAGCCCTGCCTGGGCAGGAATTCCTGAGGATTTGGTGAGAGAGGGTGCCTCCTCAGGGTCCCTCCTCAGCTCACACTGAGCTCAGATGCCCCCGGCTGAAGAAGATGCCCTATGCACCCCAAGCCCTCAGCGTGCCAGGGTTAAAGGCCCAGATGCTGTCCAGCCTCCTGCCTGTGTGAGCGTGGCTGGGGCTAGGGACCAGTCTGCTGTGGCCAGCCCCCATCTGGGGGCAGACCCTCCCCCCCCGCCCACATGCTGGTCATATCTACCTTTGGGCCTGATGCCAGGGCCTTCCCCGGGTGCTTCTGGCACTTCAGGGAGAGCCTTCCCCACACCCGTGGCTTGCAGCCGTGGGAGCCGGGCTGCCTTGTTAGAGATGGGCACCGACCTGGGCTTCCCTTGGGTAACCCCCTGGAGCCTCTAGGAGCCTGCTGACACCGCCTTCCTCCCCACTGGCCTGAGCCCTGAGGTCCAGGCTGGCGTGGGGGAGTGGCTCTGGGGGGCCCGGACGGCCTGGTCACAAGGCTGCTGCTTGTCTTTCAGCTGGACCCCCAGGCCCTCCAGGATAAAGACTGGCAGCGTGCCGTCATCGTCATGAATGGTGTAAGTGTGAGGCCAGAAGGGGAGCGGGGGTGGAGGCCCAGGCCATGGCAGGGCTGACCCCTGACCTTTGCCTCCTGGCCCATGCAGATTGAGGTGAAGCTGTCCGTGAAGTTCACCAGCCGGGAATTCAGCTTGAAAAGGATGCCTTCCCGCAAGCAGACCGGCGTCTTCGGGGTCAAGATTGGCGTCGTCACCAAGTGAGTGGCGTCCGTCGCTGCTGAGGGGAGCCAGCACGGGGGTCAACCGGGGCTGGGGGCTCTGCTCCTGGATAGGGCGGGTGCCCTGGGGGTTCCAGCTACAGGCTTGACTCCCAGCTGGGCCTCCTGGGCTGGCCTCCAGGGTCGGTCCTCCCTCATGATGAACTCGTCATGGGCACCAGCTCCTTCTGACTACAACCTGGCATCCCTGTCCTGTGCCTTCCAGGACAGGTATCCCCGGGACCCTGCCTCCCGCCCTTCCCCACTTCCCGTGGCATCTTCCCCAGACGTGGCATGCAGCAAGGGGCTAGCTCCCCATGGGGTTCCGGCGGGGGGCCCGGTTGGTTGTGCGGTCAAAGCAATGAACATTCAGTAAGTGGACTGCAGAGCAAGGCCAGCAAGTGGACAGGGTGAACCGGGAATGCCCTGCGAGTGTGCAGGACCCTCAGGACGCGAGGGCTGGCTGGGTGCGCCGGCAAGCTCAGAGCAGCGGCCTGGGGGTGTAGGCAGATGCTGCCCCCACCGCAGGGAGGCCCTGCCCCTGCAGACTAGGATTGGAGCAGAGCCAGCCAGAGAAGGAGGGGAGGAGGGAAGGGAGGGCCCTGCCTGCAGTGAAGCGGGATTTCGGCTAGCCCCTGCGGGGTGTGTAGGGGTTCAGAGAGACCCCTGGGTGTGGAGTCGGGTTCAAATCCCACTTCAGACACTTGCTTTTTCTGTGGCCCTGGGGGAGGTACTTAATCTCACTGTGCCTCAGTTTCCTCAACTATTCAGCGGGGGAGTTGGCCTCGATGGCTCCTAATGTCTGTTTTGGGGCTGACTCCCAGAACTCCTCTGTGACGAGGAGGCGAGGGGAGGTGGGAAGGTCTTGGATGCCAGGGAACAGAGCTTGGGCTGGTCTCAGTGGTTAGCAGGGAGCCACAGCAGATGGCTGAGCACAGGAGGGACCTCGCCAGATCTAAGTTGCCAGAATTGTCTGGCAGTCTCAGGAGGGAAGTCCTCAAGGTTTCTGATGGAGCGGGGCATGGGGCCAGGAGAGTTAGGGCTGCTAAAATCATTAGCAGAAGGAGGTTCCCCCAGGCTGCTCCACTGGCTGACCACAGGAGTGCTCTGGCCTCCTTAGAGGGAGTCCCAGGGACGGATGTCAAGCCCTACCTTTGGGCTCCGGCCCAGATGGGGGAGGTGTGGCCTGGCCCCAGCCTTTATGGGGACAGGCTAGAAGTCCAGCACGAAGGGACGGGTGCTGTCATCCTCCTTCTTGCAAGGGTCTGCTTCTCTCCTGGGCTCTGAGGTAGGCCCAGGCGGCCTCACTGGGGCCCCATTGGCCCGGGCCAGACACTTGTGGTTGTCGTCCAGACAAGGTCACCGAGGCCCAGGTGGCCTGGTTAGGGCTTCGCTGGCCTGGACCAGACACTTGCAGTCATCATCCAGATGAGGTCACTGAGCCCCAGAGGCTGGCCCAGGCTCACACAGCACACTCTGGGATTTGTCTCTTGAAGGCTCTGCAAGGGAGAGGCCATCCCAACGCCCAGCTGCCATCTCTAGGGGCTTGGCCCCATGGGGCAGAATGGCCCTGGTCAGACGGAGGTTGGCTCTCTCACCATCTTCCCACGCGCCCTGTTCCCTGCGCCATTTCCTTCTGTTGGTGGAAAGAGCCAGAGAGCCAACGCACTGTGGCTGACTAGGGCCCTTCCACCTGGGCCCACTCTGGCATGTCCCTGGATGGGACCCTCTGGCCTTCACTTTGCTTGTCCAGAGAGGAGGGACCAGGTGCCCTGGGGGGCCCTCCCAGCTCCACAGTCCTGGGGCCAGGCTCCCAAGTTTCACAGATGCAGATTTGGCCTCTGGGGCAGGAAAAGCTTAAGAGGAGTGGGTGGCCCAGGGAGGTAGTGAGCACAGCCTTCAGGGCAGGCCAGAAAGGATCGTGATGGTCACTCCCGCTCCTCCTGGCCACTTGGTCCAAATGCCATTCTTGTCCCTTGCAGGAGGGAGAGGTCCAAGGTGCCTTATATTGTGCGCCAGTGCGTGGAGGAGATCGAGCGCCGGGGAATGGAGGAAGTGGGCATCTACCGCGTGTCAGGCGTGGCCACCGACATCCAGGCCTTGAAGGCCGCCTTCGACGTCAGTGAGTCCCCAGAGGCCCTACTGAGGGGAATGGGGAGGTCAGGGTGAGGCTTGGCCCTGATGCTGCTCCTCCGGGCACCGGCTGGCCTCAGTTTCCTCGGCCAGGCCAGGGGATGCCGGTAGGGCCCCACCCAGAGCCAGGGACTTCCCCTGAACCAGGCTCATCGAAGTGTCTGTTTCCCCAGTAAGACAGGGGCAGTTTAGAATCAGAGAACGCACTCACGTAACGTGGGAAGGACGTGTGCACCAAGGCTCCCAGGTGGTGGTTGCCCAGAGCCCTCCCAGGGTCACTGGCTTCATGCTTCCCATCCCCAGGAGGAGTGCGAAGGAGGCACTTCACTGGGTTGGGGAGAAGGTGTCTATATCTGCCTGGGGCCACAGCGGTACAGCGTGTGACTGCCACCCTCATGGCTTTGCTCTGGCCTTCAGAGAACTGTGAACACAGCCAAGACCAGGAGTGACTGCAACCCTGACCCTCCCCTTTGCTGCCTCAGATGGGGAGTGGGAAGGCTTTGGCCTTGGTGGCCAACCCCTCACTTCCTCTTCCCTGCCCTGGGCAGAGGCCGCGGCAGGACATTGAAGGATGTCCCTCAGGATGGAGACTGTGCTGAGCCCTGCTTGCCACCTCTTTCCCCAGTTTTCATCGGGCTCAGGAGACTTTGTCCTGACCCCCACGCAGAGGAAGGCCCCACCCTGTTAGGGTAACAAGGCCAGTCCTCCAAGTATGGGCCTAGGTCAGAGTGGAGGCTTTGGGGTCAGGCTGGGCGGCCAGGGAGCTGCATCCCGGGGGCTTTCCCTGCTGTCGAATGTGCCTGGCAGTCATAGAGAGGAGCTGGGAAAGGAAGGAGGTCTGTAGGCTGGAGCCCTGGGAGGGGCACAGAGCTGGGACATGGGGAACCAAACCCCGGTGAACCTCTCAGCCCGTGGCAGAGATGGGCCTGCTCACCAGTACTGCCCTGGGGCAGAGCCTGTCTGCTCTGAGCTCAGCCTAGATATCAGCTCTGTTCCCAGGCTTTCTGTCGACTCTACTCACTGGGCTGACTGGGCACATGGGGGCTCGGGGCTAAGGGGAAATGAGAGTGTTACAGAGCCCTGATTGCCACTGTTGGTGGAAAAACCCAGGCTGGTGCCTCTGCTGGGCTTCAGCGAGGCCTTGGAGGGAGTGGATGAGGAGAAACTTCCAGCCTATTGGAGACCCCTCAAAATCAGCCTGAATCCTGCCTTTTGCATGTGCTTTCAGATAATAAAGATGTATCTGTGATGATGAGTGAGATGGATGTCAATGCGATTGCGGGAACACTCAAGTTGTACTTCCGAGAACTGCCGGAGCCCCTCTTCACTGATGAGCTCTACCCCAGCTTTGCAGAGGGCATCGGTAAGTCCCCCAGCCCAGCAGCCGTGCATGCTGTGGGGGCTCCTGTGCAGGTGCTCTGCCCCACACCAGGGTCCAAGGCGGCTGCAGGCCGGGCCTCAGCCTCACACCTGGAGGGTCTTTCTCTGGGGTGCCTCCCTGACCATAGGCCTTCCTGGGTTCTGCCCAGAGACCTCTGTAGCTCCTGGGGCAGTCTGGGCCACACCCAGAGGGCTCTCCTGCCCAGACTGTTTTTCCCTCCTTCTCTTCCCCAGCTGGTGGGGAGCTTCCTACTCAAGCTGGTACATGGAGACTGGCCCTTTAGGGGGGTCCTGGGCCCTTCAGGGGGTCCAGGTCCTTCAGGAGTTCTTGGGCCCTTCAGGGGTTCCTTGGCCCTTTAGGGGTTCCTGGGACCTTCAGGGGTTCCTTGGCCCTTTAGGGGTTCCTGGGCCCTTCAGAGGTTCCTTGGCCCCTCAGGGGGTCCGGGCCCTTGTGGGCTTCGTGGAAGGCTGCCATGAGGCAGGCCAGGCCCTCTTCACTTTCCCAATCCTGCGTCATGCTGGGGGCTCCCCTTGGCTCCTTTTTCCGATCCCTTTCAGAGGATCTGCTGTCCCCCCAGTCCTCCCATGTGGAGTGGTTTGCTGAATACAAGTGAATGATCCTCAGTGGAGTCTTTCTTTTTGGATGTGGCCGCCCCTTCCCTTTCAGCTGTCTAGACATGGGCAGAGGTTGGCCCTCCCCACCGCAGGCTGCCCACGTCTTCAGTCTTCAGTCTTCGTCCCGACCTCGATCAAAGCCTTAAACAGTTAAGACAGGCTGAGGACAGAGCCCTGCGGCAGCCCACTGGAGACCTCTGTCTGAGGCGGCCCTGACTCTTCTCTCTCCGACTCTCTCTGTAGCACTTTCGGACCCCGTGGCCAAAGAGAGCTGCATGTTGAACCTGCTGCTGTCCCTTCCCGAGCCCAGCCTTCTCACCTTTCTCTTCCTTCTGGACCATTTGAAAAGGTACTGGCCGAGGCAGTGGCCTCCCCGTCCAGACTGGAGCCTGGGGTGCCCTTCCCAGGCCCAGCACAGGCACAGCCGGACCTCTGCCTCTTCCTGCCCTTGGCAGAGGCTCTGAGCGGCTGCTCTCCCGGGGCTCTGCCCTCACCTGCCTGCCTGTGCCTCCAGGGTGGCAGAAAAAGAGACAGTCAACAAGATGTCCCTCCACAACCTGGCCACAGTCTTTGGCCCCACCCTGCTGAGGCCTTCGGAGAAGGAAAGCAAGGTCCCCCCGACCCCGAGCCAGCCCATCACCATGGCCGAGAGCTGGTCCCTAGAGGTCATGGCCCAGGTAGGGGGGGTGCCTGCCAGGCGGTGGGGCGGGCACCAGGAGCCCATCCGCCATTCACTGATCTTCCCCGGGTACCAAGCTAGAGAGCAGCCTGGCTGAGCCGAGAGTTTCCATCTCCCCCTGCCTGTCCCGGGGCGCATCTGGGGCCCCTCAGCCTGGGTGCTCTGCTCGCGCCCCTTTGGTTTGTGGCCAGCCTGAAGCTACCCTGCAGACTTGCCTCTTCACCCTCCTCCCTCCTCTCTCCTCCCCACCCCCTCTGCCACAGGTGCAGGTGCTGCTCTATTTTCTGCAGCTGGAGACGCTCCCGGCTCCGGACACCAAGAGACAGAGCATCCTTTTTTCTACTGAAGTCTGACTGCCGGACTCTGTGTAGCAGGAGCCTGGGAGAGTGGGCCAGAGGCCCCAGGGGCCCCGAGCAGAGCAGAGTGAGCCCCTCAGACCCTGGGCCGAAGCTCCGGCCGCCCTCCTCTTATCCCTTGGGAAGGGTTTGAGCGCAGAGTTCAGGGACGACACCGAGGCTCGTCAGGGAGGCAGGAGGAATGGGCGGGGAGCCCTCCACCACTGCGCTGGCCCAGGAGGACTCCTGACCCTGGACCACCCCCCAAACCCTTCACGCGCCTTCCTCTCCTGCCTCCTCTTTGGGCTGTCTGGGACCTGGCGGAGGGCCAGGCGGCCGAGGGTCCCGCCAGCACCCCTCGCTCTTACTGTGGCCCCGTCACGTGCGCATCTCCTGGCCTTCTTTGCCACAACCAGGCTTCTCCTTCCTTAGTCACTGCTGCTAGCACCGCTACCGTGACCAGTGCGCCCGCTTGCTGACTAACTCGTGTTCTCACCCTGTGTCTGAAGAGAGTCCGATACTTGAATCTCCAGTCCAGGGAGGGGGCAGCCTGAAGGCAGCCTCTGGCCTCCCATTCCTTTCTGGGCACTGTGGCTCCTGGCGGCACCCCGCCCTCGCCCGCCCCCACCCACCCTCGCCTCCACCTGGCTCCTGGCGGCAGCCACACCCTCGCCTGCCCTCCACATGTGTGCGGTCCGGGCCTTCATCCTCATTCCCATCTCCTTTGGCGGCTTGTAGAAAGCAGGCAGTGCCCCGCCTGTGCCCATTCCTGCCCTACTTTGTTCTTATTTATATAGGACGTGGAATGTTGACTATTAAACCACAGATTTTATTGTGCATCTGTGCATGACTAGCTCACAGGCGACGTGCCCCCTTATCACTCTGCGCTTCTGCCATCCCAGGGCAGCCCCCGGCTGGGGGACCCTGGAGAAAGGCACCAGTGTGGACCAGGAAGGGCCTCCTTCCCTGAAGAGCCGGCTTTGTAGGGTAGTGAGCTCCCCATCGCCGAGCTCTTCAGGCACCTCCCCATACCCAGAAGTGTGGGGGCACTCGTTGCTCAGATGCGATGACCCCTGAGCTCTCCAGCCAGGAGGGCCTCTGATGTGGGGCAGTCTGGCCTCTCTCGCCAGCGCTGTCAGTTGGCAGGTGGCTGAGGGCTGTGATGGTCATTGTGGTTTCTCTCTGGGTAGCTCCTCTGCTTGGGAGGGAATCCTAGGCCCGCTCCCGTGGGGCAGGGGTGGGCCGACGTGGGGGGCCAGCCCAGAGGGGCACCAGGAGGTAGCCTCCCACCGCAGTGGGGCAGGGTGGTCATGGGCTGCTCTTCTCCAGAGACCTGCCCACTCCCGGGGGGGGGTGGAGCAGGGAGCCATGTGAGGGCCCCAACAGCTTACATGGCTTCTCTGGGGCCAGCCAGCTGGCAAGGGCGTGGAGCAAGAGCTGTTCCTGTTAGGTTCACACTGTCCGCAAGGGTGGTGAGGGAGTAGGTGCCAGTTCGCCCAGTCAATAAACATTTATTAAGCACCCACTGTGTGCCAGGTGATGCCCTCCCCGGACACCGGGGCCGTCCTGCCCCTCCAGCCAGACCACTAGCCCTCCCTTTCCATCTCTTGCTCTTGCTCTGAGAACAGGGAGGAAGCCAAGGCTGCCATTGTCATGGGACGGTGGGCTGTCTTGCCTGGGCTGTCGTGTGACTGCCTGAAGCCCGTTCTTCCTCCCCTATGAGCTCGCTTGCTCATAGAACTTAGAACCCCAGGCAGACAGGAGCTGCGATCCTTGAGTGCCCACCTCCAGAAGTGATGCCCCAGACCTGGGGTTTGGTTTCCAGGGGCTCCTCAAACTGGAGCCCAGGAGCCCCCACTGGTGACCTTCCCTATTACAGTCAGCCAGTAGCCACAGTTATTTAGCTCAAAGCAAAGGCATTTACCGTAAGAAGCACAATGCAGCCTGAACCCTAGCCGCCTCCAGCAGCCCTGAGGTGCACCCTCCCACAAATACACTCCCTGAGGGAAGGCAAGGTAGATGCCCTGCTAGTGAGCTAGGCAGGCGTGGCTCCAGGGCAGTGCAGCCTCTAGCTTCTCCTCAGAGTGGTCCTGTGCTGCTTCTCCGGCTGGCACATAGCATCTCTGCTGGGTGGGGTGGGGTACTCAGGTGTGTTCCACGGGCGTGCTCCTCAGCCTGACCCTCAATGGTCTTCAAGCATTCATGATGTGCAGGTGCTGTGCTAAGCACTCAACGCAAATACAAGGAAAGTGCCAACAGTCCCTGCCTACAGAGATCTTCCATTCCCACGGGGGGGGGGGCGATCACACATGCCAGGAAGCTGCCGAGGGGGAGGGGAGGCTAGGATAGGGCCAAGTACCCGGGGGCTGGTGAAGGCTGTCCAGTGTATAGTCTGGAGAGGACTGAGACCCGGCTGGCCCCAGTGCCCTCCAATCAGAGGGGAAGGCTGAACGGGCAGGGCGCTTCCGACAGGTGACTGGCCAGAAGACCTGGCTCTCTTTTCTGCTGCCAGGGCTCGTGGTCTGTGACACTGCTTCTGCCCACTCCCTGCAGGGGGGGAGCTCCTCCTGGGAGGGCAGGTCTGATGCAGAATGCCCTGGCTTGGGGCAGGGTGGGGGCAGGGGCAAAGGAGAAAGATCCCTGCCCTGCCACTGCCCCTGGGCAGAAGTGGGGGAGGCACACCCCACAAAGCCTTGAACGTCCCGCGACTGTACTCGTGTGGCCGGCCAGCAGGAGGGGCCAAGGACTCCTTCCATCAACAAAGCTGGGGGGAGATGGGGAGACAGAGCCCCCATTCACCAGTCAAACATCGTGTGTATGTGTGTGCATTGACTCACACCCCTAAAACTAGAGCTCGGGGCCCCCACTAGTGAGTTCGTCTTTAACAGGCAATGAACACAATTAGCTGAAGGCTGGCAATGACCAAGGCAGCCTGATCCAGACAGACAGACAGACAGATGGACAGACGGACAGACACACAAAACGGGAGACAGACACAGAGGGAGGGCGGGCGTGTGCTCCGAGCCCCCAGCCAGAGACAGCCCTCTGGCAAACACTCCTCTCCAGAGGCCCTCCCTTCAGGCCCTCTCCTAAATGGGTTCCCAATCCCACACATCCAGACCCCCCCATGCCTCTGAGTCACATGGCTCATTGCGACCGTGGGCTTAAGAGCTGAAGCCAACACTTGAAACAAAGATGAAGGACTGAAGAAACGGCCTTCTTGAGCCCAGAGGGAAAGGCTGCGGGCCTCCGTGGAAGTCTAGTCCCTGCCTTGGGGCTGGGTGCAGGAGGGTCCATAGCCCCTCCGCAGGCAGCAGACCACCAGGGCACGGCCAAGCCTCTTCCCCAGCGCCTGGCCAGGCTCAGCCATGCTCTTTCCAGTCCTGGCCCCTGACGACCTCAGTCACCGACCCAGCGGTGACCTTCACCTGCTGCCCAGAGACTCTTCAGCTTGGGGAGGAACGGTCTCCCCAAAGACTCGGGTTTGCAGAAACAGAGGCCTCCTGGCCGAGGGAGCTTCCTGCTCCTCTCAGGGGCCTTGACCAAATGTCCCAGGAGTCTTCTCCAGGCCCCTTGCTAGGCTGCCCCAAGGACAGATCTGGAGACCGAGGGCGTTGGTGTCTTCTGCATGCGTCAGGTGGGCAACAAGCATTTATGAAGTGTCTACCATGTGCCAAGCAGCATGCTAAGTGCCGGGGTCCCTGGCCTTGGGGAGATCCGAGGCAAGTGGAAGCAGCAGCTCCCACACAAGGGGCTAGAAACAGGCCAAGGGTCAATGGAGATGGTCAGAGGAAGGGAGGGGCGAAGGGGGTCAGGAGAGGCCTCCTGGGGAGAAGGCGGGAGCCCGGGGGGAGGAGAGGCCGCCGGGAAGGGCTCTGAAGGCCCCGAAGAGCTGTCTGTATTGTTCCTGCAGGCCAGAGAGAGCCACTGCGGGGTTACTGAGTAGAGTGTGGTATGGTCAGGCCTGAGCTCTGGGGAGATCCTTTTAGGGTATGAATGGAGGATGGAGCAGAGTAGGGAGAGACTGAGGCAGGCAGGACCCCCCTCCCAGTGACAACGGCAGTAATCGAGGCATAAAGTGATGAGGGGCCTGCACTGGGGTGGGGGCTGTGTCAGGGAAGAGGAGGGGGAGGATTTGAGGACTGGGCACCACACTGGGTCTAGGGAGTGAGAGGGAGTGAGGAGTCTGGGATGACCCCGAGGCTGGGGGCCCAAGGGCCTGGCAGGGCACTCACAGGGAAGGCTGAGGGGGGAGGGTTTGGAGGGAAAGGTCATGAGCTCTGTTTGGACCCACTGAGTGTGGCACCCACTGGATGTCCAGTTGGAGACGTCTGAGGCAGCTGGAGATGTGAGAAGGTTGGGGCAGGACAGGGAGATCTAAGAATCATCAGCATAGATGGTCATTCAATCCATGGGAGCCGATGAGATGACCCAGATGGAGAAGGGCAGAGGGCCCAGGACAGAGCCCTGGGGGACGCCCATGGTGAGAGGGCCTGGTCTGGAGGAGGGGCCAGAGGAGGAGACAGAGAAGGAGTAACATCAGGTCCGAGCTGGAAGGAGGGCCGGAACCAATCATGGGCACCCCACAGTTGGCCCCTGTCATCACATAATGGCCTGCTGGTAGGAACTTTCAGGAAGCCTCAGCTCCAGCCCTTTTCCCCATTTCTGAGGTAACTGGCCCAGAGGGGAAAGTGATTGGTCCAGCCTCACACAGCATCCAGTCCAAGGCTACCACGTTTCTCTTGGAGTTGGGCAGATTTCCCTTGGAGGCCTTGATTCACCCCGGGTACCCGTCCTGAGGCCAGAAAAGGCCTCCTGAGCACTGGGTGAAGTGGGGGGGGCTTTTCACCCCTTTTCTGGGGTTAGCCAGGAATTCTTCAGGAAGGATACATATCAGGCACATGAGGAGAGGAGGGTAAGGGAGTGGGGGTGATGGGGAGAGGGCCTTTGGCTGCCTCATTCCAGGGCCCAGTAGCTTTTCTAGGCCACTTCCAATGGCAGTCAGCAGACATTCAAAGGGCACAAAAGCCAGAGGCCACAGGAACCCCACCCCCCCGGGATTGGCAAAGCCCTGTCAGCATCCCTCGGTGTCCATTCCCACTGGATGAATGAAGAATGGATGGCAGCAGAGTGCTTTGGGGCTGGCCAGTGGGTGGGAATGCGTCCCCAGTGTTGAACTGTGGAGGGAGGGCCCTGGCCAGGGAACAGGGAGGTGACAGTCAAGTCTGGGTCCTCTGCCCCATCCAGATCCCCCCGGGATGTCTGAGTTGACTGTAATTCAGGAAGGACTGGAGAAGATGGGGAGTGGCCACAGGAAGGCGACGAGGACACTTTGGAGGGGACAGGGGTCTGGAAGCAATGACAGAGGCGTGGAATGGCTTGGCTTCTCTGGGCCTCATGACTGCCTGCACTTCATGGCCACCTCCCTCCCACACCCCAGAGAGGAAAAGTCCAGAACTGAGGAATGCAGATGGGCTTTGGTGAAGGGCAGTTTTTGCATCAGTCAATCATTTAACAAGTGATTATGAAGCACCAAAGACACGTCAAGCCCTGGACCAGACTCTGGGGAGGGAAAGACAAAAGAATCCTGGTTCTTGGTGTGGGAGAAATGTCTCATATGGAACATTGCTGCTGGCCAATAACCCTACCACAATGCAGAGGTTAACATTAACAGAAAACAGACCATGGTTAGCCAAAGTGTTCCAGGAGGAATGGCATAATAAAAATTAATAAAAGGAAAGTTTCCTTACACACTCAAGGACTTGCAATTTCTACCCTGGCATGGTCTCTAGTGTCCAAAGGCTGGGCATGACACTGGGGACACTCACTCCTCAGGTCTCTGTCAGAGAGGCTGGGGGTCCCGGATCAGCCAGTGGAGGAAGGTGGGTAGCTGGGAAAAGGCAGCGCCAAAGAGGGTTCACTGGGTTTTCCTTTTTGTACAGAAAAGGTTCCATCTCTGACAGTCCAGTTTTATGGTTCCTGCCTGGATAGTACGGCAGAGGAAGGATGGGCATCAGTCAGTCAGTAAAGAAGCACTGAGCACTTACTGTCCCTTCTCCAGCAGATCACTCTCTCTGTCACCCTCTCCCCCCATTCATCTTCAATCTCTCCCTCTCTACTGGCTCCTTCCCTCTTACTTCCAGACATGCTCATGTCCCTTCTATCCTGAAAACAGGCTCATTTGATTCTTTGCAGTCAAACTCCTTGAAAAGGCCACCTACAATCGGTGCCTCTGCTCTACTCTTTCTCTCTCCCTGCCCCTCTCACTTTCTTCTTAACCCTTTACAGTCCAACTTCTGACCTCCTCCTTCCACTGTCTTCAAAGTAACCGATGGTCTTTCAGTGGCCAAACCCAATGGCCTCTTCTCAGTCCTCATTCTCCCTGACCTCTGTAGCTTCTGACACTGTCTGTGGTAATAATAATAATAATAAACAACAATAACCATAATGATAATAGCTGGGACATTTATGTAATACCTACCATATGTCAGGCACTGTGTTAAGTGCTTTACACATATTATCTCATTTGATTCTCACAGTTCTGGGAGGGTGGTGCTATTATTATTCCCATTTTACACTTGGACTTTCAGACATGTTCAACAGACATCATGAATTCAATGTTTCCAAAACAGAATTCATTATCTTTTTCACTAAACCCTCCCCAACTCTTACCTTCCTTATTACTGTAGAGGGCACCCCCATCCTCCTAGTCCCCCAGGCTCACGCCTTTGGAAATCTTCCTGGGCTCCTCACTCTCTCACCCCCCAGATCCAATATGGTGCCAAGGCCTGTTGATTTCACCTCTGCTGCACCTCCGGTCCGTTCCACCTCTGTAGCACTTCCGGTCCGTTCCACCTCTACAGCATCTCTAGAAAAGCCCCCTCTTCTTCTCTGACATTGCCACCCTCCTGAGGTAGACCCTCCCACACCTGGACAACGGCAATAGCTGCTGAGGGCAGTGGGGTCAGCCTGCCTCCAGTCTCTCCCCATTCTAATTCATCCTTCATTCAGTGACCAAAGTGATTTCCCCCACTCATGAAGCTCCAGTGGCTCCCTATGGCCTCCTGGAGCAAACACAAAAGGCTCTGTCATTCAAAGCCCTTCATAACCTGCCCCCTCCCACCTTCCCAGTCTTTTTCCACCCTGACTCCCCACCACATTTTCTTCCATCCAGAGACCCTGGCCTGGCTGTTTCATCAAGAAGCTCCTCCATCTCTCTGCTCCAGGGCATTCTCTCTGGCTGTTTCCCTGCCTGGAATGTTCTTTCCTTCACTCCAACTACTGACCTCCCAGGCTTCCTTTAGGTCCCAGGTAAAATCTCACTTTCTCCCCAACCTCTCCTAATTCCAGGCCCTTCCCTTTATTGTATAACATTTGAAAATTAAGGTAAACTGACAGTTCCCCTTAATTTTCCCTTTCCCTCCCCTGCTTTTCCCTTTTCCCCCCTCTCCCCCTACCCTCCTCTCCCTACTCTTCCCTACCCCTCCTCTTCCTTTCCTTCCTCCCTTCTCCCTTTCACTTCTTCTCCCCCTTCCTCTCTCCCTTTCCCTCCCCTCCCCCCTTCTCCTCTCTGTTCTTTTTGGGGAGCCCCTATGACTGTGGTAGCCTTAGACTTCCCATGTGGCACTTAGCCAGGCCTCCCTGGAGCCCATGTGTCCCTGAAGCAGGACCTACATGCCTTTCCCTTGTGGAGACCCAGTCTCTTCTCCTATACATCTTCCTCAGGGTTAACCACAGGCAGCCAGAGGGGTGCTCCCTGCCAGCAGCCCCAGCCCTAAGGACCTTCGTTTGCCTTTGGAAGAGCCCTAGCAATAGTGTAAGAGGAAACAGACCAGGCCATGCTGTGAGGCCTGCTACTGGGGCTGTCCTGCCATGCCTAGGCCTCAGACCAGTGTCCCCAGCCTAGGGCCATAAGGAGCTTGGGGGCTGGGGGCAGCCAGCAGATGTTAAATCTCCTATTGCACAGCCCTTGGTTGCTGGGAGGCAGCTGGGAGCATGTCAACTTGTCTTGTCCTCCAGTGAAACTGGGGCTCTTTCCCTTTTTCTAAATCCCCTGGCTGTCCCAGGATGGCAAGCAGCTGGGACAGGGACTGGGAGACAGATGCATTTAATGCTGGTGGCGTGGCCCAGAGGGCCGGAGGGTGGCCGCTGGGAGGAAGAAGAGGAGGCGATGGGAGAGCCAGCTCCGCCTGGTGGCCTTGGCCCGGCTCATCGGTCCTGACCCTTCATTGTGCACCCTCATGCCTGCTCCAGGGGCTCTGCCTGGAGATCAGATGTGGACTCCAGTGCCAGATTCCCGCAGCCAGGAAGGGCCCAGGGTCTCTCTGGTCAGTCAGTCACTAAACGTGTGTGTGCTCAGCTCCCCTTCTGGGGGACTCACTTCCAGAAATCCAGGGACCCGTATAAGACACCAGCTTCTCCTCCCTGGCTCTAGACGTCCATGCCCACTACATTCCTGGGTCAGTTTTCTTTAGAAAGGGGTGAAGCATGAGTCTCTGCAGTCCCTAGGAAGGTATTGGTACAGTCAGTCTTTGAAGTCCTGGGCTTGATAGCAGAAGGTCCACGAAGGGAAGTCTGAGGCCTTTGGCAGTGCACAGGCCAAGCCCCTTTTGTCAACGTCCTGCCTTATGGGGGCTGGAAGGGCAGACAAGTGAGGATGGGGCTGCCTGGATGGAAGAGGAGCCTGGGGCCATGGAGACCCACCGCAGGGTGAGGAGGGTGAGGGGCTAACAACAGGATTATTATGAGGGGTGGGGGTCAGGGGATCTTAATAACACTGCTAATTATGGTGGGAGGGGCGGGGGAGGAGGAGATGAGGGTGGGGCTGATGAGAAGGGGGTAGGGAGGAGAGAGTTGGTGGGAAAAGGCTCTGGATGAGGAGCTGGGAGGTGGACGGAGAGGAGGCACAGCTGGGGGCTCATGATTGCGGTAGAGATCAGGGATAGGGGTGTGGGGAGAGGGAACGAGGACGTGAATAATAGGGGGAAGATCAGACTAGGGATAAGGGAAGAAGGGGTCTGGGGGCGGGGTCATCCCACCCAACGACCTCTGTGGCAACCATTCCAAAAACTAGTCAGCCCCTAGCCTGCCTCCCAGGGCCAGCCCAAAGCGAAGCGCATGCGCACCAACAGGTTCCTCCCTCGATGTGGGGCAGGGAGGCGAGGCGCATGCGTATCAGAGCGGCTCCGTCGCGAAGGCCCTGAGGCGCATGCGTGCCCACTAGGCCCACTACGGCAGGCCGGAGGCTGGGGGGGGGCAGTACGCAGCTGCGCGACGGTGGCAGTCCTGGCGCGTCACCTCGCGCATGCGCGCCTCCTCTGTCGGCTGAGGCGCGTCCCCGCGGGCCCCCGCGCCTGCGCCCTGGCGTCCTCGCGGGCCCGGCGCGCGCCCCTCGCCTCGCCCCCTCGTTCGCCCGCCGCGCCGCGGGGTCCGGTCCCGGTCCGGGTCCGAGGGGAGGCCGCCCGCGCTGCGCCCCGACACCGCGCCCTTGGCGGCGGCGGCCTAGAGGAGAAGGAGGAGGAGGCGGAGGCCTGAGGTGAGAGGGGGTCTGGGATGGCAATCATAGGGGGGAGGGGAGGAGAGGAAGGGGAGGGGGAGGAGAAGGGAGGGGAGGGGGTCCTCTCCGGCCGCGCGCCTTTGCCCGCTCCGCCCCGCGCCCTCCTCGCCAGGCCCTCTGGCCCTGCTGGGTCTGCTGGTCTTGGTGTTCAGTGCTCCCAGCCTCCCCTTCCCCGCCCAGAGGTGTGGCCGCCCCCGGCTCTCTGGGCCCTCAGTTTCTCCATCTGTAGGGTGGGGAGATTGCTCCCTGGGGGAGAGCCAGGGGTGGGTCCCATTTTGGGGTCAGCTAAGGACCCCCCACCCCCAGGAGTCTGCGCCTTTGGGGACCCTGAGGACGGAGGGACATGAGGATGATCATTGAGGACAGACAGTGAGGAAGGAGAGTGAGGAGGGATAGTGAGGACAAACCCTGAGGACTGATGGACGGTGAGGACAGATCCTGAGGATGGATGGACAGTGAGGACAGGCGGACAGTGAGGAAGGAGAGTGAGGACGGACAGTGAGGACGGACCCTGAGGATGGATGGACAGTGAGGACAGATGGACAGTGAGGACAGACGGACAGTGAGGACAGATGGACAGCGAGGAAGGACCCTGAGGATGGACGGACAGTGAGGATGGAGGACAGTGAGGACAGATGGACAGCGAGGAAGGACCCTGAGGATGGACGGACAGTGAGGATGGAGGACAGTGAGGACGGATCCTGAGGATGGATGGAGAGTGTGGATGGATAGTGAGGACAGACGGACAATGAAGATGGAGCCTGAGGATGGATGGACAGTAAGGACAGACGGACAGTGAGGACAGACGGACAGTGAGAACAGACGGGCAGTGAGGACAGACAGCAAGGAAGGACCCTGAGGATGTACCCTGAGGACTAACGGACAGTGAGGATGGATAGTGAGGACAAACCCTGAAGACTGATGGACAGTGAGGTTGCTCAGTGAGGACGGCCCAGGAAGCCCTAAAGGGAGAATGGTCACTCAGAAACAGTCACTGTGCCCTGAGGACGGCCGCTGAGCATGGTCATTGAGCACAGGTGGTGGCCTTGGGGATGTCCGGGAGGACAGTTCTGGCGGCCACTGTGGCGTGGGCAGGTGGTGTCCACCTCGGCGTGGGCAGGTGGCGTCCACCTCGGACCCAGTTTGGGATGAGCACCTTTTTCCTGCATAGAGTATCTGCTATTGATTGGGTGTGACATGGCGTTGCCTGATCAATGCCAAGGCGCGCCCTCCCTGGAGGGCGGGGGTCATGGGCGGCCCACACTAGGCCCACTCAGGAGGCTCTGGGCTTGGGCTTCTTGGCCTCGGGGTGACCTTCCCCCCAGACCTGGGCCCTCGTCTGAACTTTTTGGTTTGTGCTGGGCCCCCCACATCCCCAAGGGCCTGTGGTTTCTGCCTCCTAGCCCTTCCCTTCCTGTGGCTCTGACTCCAGTCTGGGGGTCGTCACCTCCCCCTGGTGGGGGGCTCTCCCCTCTGGCTCCTTCCTCTGGTTGTGCCCCTCGTCCCACCACTCTCGTGATTGGTCAGGGTTGGGTCCTTCCATGTGCAGTGGCCTGGTACAGTGGGTCAGCAGAGGGCCCATGGCCATTCACTGGCATTCTGGACAGACAGACAGAGGCATGGAGCAGGGCTTGCAGGAGAGAGTCCTCACCTGCCTTCTCTCCTCTTCTGCCCAGTGGATGGGGGCTCTGCGGCATCCCTCTTTTTGGGTGGGCCAGAAGGGTGTGGGGGAGGGGCCTGTGTCCAGACGGAGGCATGAGGAAGAGCCTGAGGTCCAGCTGGGGTGCTGGGCAGGGCTGCTGCCCCAGTGGGCACCTTACTCCTCCCTCCTTCATGGCTTGTGGTGTCGGGGTGTAGAGGATTGTGGAGGAGCCCATGAAGCATGTCCTGCATGCTTGTTCTGCCATACATTGAGGACGGCTTGTTACATGCATGGGTGTGTTTTTGTATGTGTGTGTGTGTGTGTGTGTGTGTGTGTGTGTGTGTGTGTGTGTGTGTGTGTGAGAGAAAGAGAGAGAGAGAGAGAGAGAGAGAGAGAGAGAGAGAGAGAGAGAGAGAGATCCGGGGTGCACTCGTGTGCATGTGTGGCCATGTGCAAGTGTGTGTGTATGATCCGTGTGTATACGAGTGATCCCTTTGTGTCTGCGTGTGTGAGTGATCTATGTGTGTTTGTGCATGTGTGGCCTGTGCTTGGCGGGCAGTGGGCTCCCCTGCCCAGGGACCCAGAGCATGGGAACGTTCCCCCAAGTCCCTCCATCCCTTCTGTGGTGTCTGCCGTCCTGAGGAGGAGCAGGAGAAGGCGGCTGACTGGGGAGGGCTCTGCTTCTTGTGACCGACCTCTCTGTCTGTCTGAAAGGCACTGCCAGGATTCCCTGTTTGCAGTTTCCCAGTCAGTCTTGCCTGCATTGGGTGTGTTATGCAAAACCTTTTGACTTAGACTTTTCCCTCTGAGGTCTCCCTGTCCATGGATGGGGCAGGCCATTTTATCCTTGACCTTTGATATTGAGGTCCAGTGTCCCTTTGGATGTCCTTGTGGGAGGTCCTTGCCTCATTTTGTCCAACCTACTGTTTGGTGTTCCCAACAATTTTTGTCAGACACCGAAGCCTTTGCCCCACGCCTGGCATCTTGAGGTCTCTCAAACTCTGGGCTTTTGTGAGCGTACGTCATGTGGCTAATGGGCCCCTGCCTGGCTGGCCCTGGGTTTTCTAGGCCAGATTTCAGTGAGCCTATCCTGCACAGCTCCATTTCAGTAGAATGGGTTTCTTTTATGTGTTCTGAGCCTCCGGCCTCATGCTTGGGGCCGTGTCTGAGATCTGAGATCGGCCCTACTAGCTTCTTCCCCTCCCTCTTTTGGTCAGCATTTCCCTCGTGATTCTTGACCTTTTGTTCTTAGAGAGGAGTTTCCTGGTTCTGAAAAAATAAGGAAGAGACCAACGAAGCAGAAAGCGAAAAACCTATTGAGTAAAAGGAGGAGATGCTTTTGGGGGAAAAAATAGACAAGCCATTCGCTCATTTGGCCAAAAAAAAAAAAAGACAGACAGTGACGACTTTCACAAAAGGAGCAGGAGAATTTGCCACAAAGGACCACAGAAATGAGGAGGTTCCCCTGGGGCAGAAGGGGCTGGGGAGGACCAGTTCAGGGAGGGGCAGAGGCTGTCCTCCAGGGATGGGGCACACTTAGGTTTATGGCACCTGCTTTGAGTCTGCTCAGCATGTGTTAGCAAGAAAGAGTCCACTGTGTATACAGGAAGGTGTTTCTGTGTAGACCATCTGCAGTCAGTCAGCTGGGTAGCAAGCATTGATGAAGCAAGTGCTCCCAGTGTGCCCAGGCACTGTGCTGACCCTTGTCAGCTCTGGTCAGCCCTGGTCAGTTGGCCCTGACTGGCCCCCATCAGCCCCGGTCAGTCAGCCCTGACTGGCCTCTGTCAACTCTGGTCAGCCCCGGTCGCCTCTGCTTAGCTCTGGTCAGCCATTGCCAGAAGGTGAAGGATTTTTTTTTTCCTCTTCAGTTTATTGTCTGTATTTTGGTTGAGAAAGCAGATCCTCCCCAGCCTGCTGCACGTTGCCTTGCCTGTGTCTTTGATTGGCCACAGGAGGCCGTGGTTCGTGGCCACAGGAGGCCGTGATTCGTGGCCGCTGAACGGGCAGCACTGATGGGGCCTTTCAGCCTGTTTATAGCTCCCAAGCTCATCTGGTTCAATTGCAGGGAAAAAACAACCGACTTGCGAAATGGCCGTTAGCAAACCTTGGCAAGGGTCCCTGCATTTTTGGACCGTATTTGAAATCCGGTCAGGGGCTTGTGAGCGTTTTGGAGACTGATTTTTTTGGCAGCCCGGGGCCTGTCCTCTGATCTGGTGCTTTTGGTTGGTCCCTAGAGCAGAGAGTGGGGAGGGAGTCCTGCTCATCAGCCTGCAGGGAAGCAGAGCCGAGGGGAAGGCGACTCGACCTGAGGGCTCGGTGGGCTTCGTGATCCAGGGGAGATTGGGAAGCTGGGCCACCAGACGAGTGGAGCGCCTGACAGAAGTGGTGCCCGGGACCCCACCGCGTGGACCCTGGGGTTTGCACCAGTGACAACTGAGAGGCCCCAGGTGAGGAAACCAAAGGTCCCACAGGGTGCTCTGGGGAGGTGTCCAGCGGGTGTCAGGTTGTGTGTGGTTCATCCTTCGTTTTGGAAGAAGACCATGACATCAGGGAAATGATGACATGATGTACAAGTGAATTGGATTTAAGTGAGGGAGGGCTGTGCAAAGTCACCAGCCTCACTTTCTCCTCCGGAGCCATCTGGGTCCAGTGGTCAGGTATAGATCAGGACGCCTGGAGATGGCCCAGGATGCAGCTGGGGACCTTGGCCCTTTTAAGCTAAGGTCTTTTCAAGTTCTCACTTTGACTGAGGCAACACCCATTCAGTGGACAGGCCTTTTTAAGAAGCGAGTCAAGGGATGGCCCCTTTAATTTAAAAAAAAAATCACGCTAGGAGTTACTGTTTACATTCACTCTGAGCCAGGAGGGTCCCAAAAGTAACCATTGAGGGGTGCTTGGGCAGGGACCTATTGTTGTCCAATCAGTGAGATCCCGAGTGAACTGGGTTTAAGGCTTGGTCTTTGAGAAGGAATTCTAGCCAGTAAACCTAAGTTCATTGGGTAGGTTTCAGCCATGACAATTCTCTTCCTTTGGGCAGAACGCCCTCAGGTAAGGGTTGCCACCTCAGGAGAGGGGAGAGGTGCCGTGGGAAGGGCTGGCTCAGAGGCAGCCTCTGGCCTGTGCTGGCGGGGTGCCTGGGGCCAAGGTGGGGAACTATTTGGGTGGCCATGCCAGGCACAAGGAAGGAGCAGAGCCCATGGGCCCATCAGGAAAACCTGAGGACAGTGTCCAGGGCTGGGCTGCATCGAATCCATCCGTCTTCCTCTGGGTGTTTAGTGGCTCTTGGACGCCACAGGCCTTCCCCCTCAGTCAGTAAGCATTTGTGGAGCACCAACTGTGTGCCAGGCACTGGGGGTACAGAGAAAGAGAAGAGACAGGCCCTGCCCTCGAGGAACTCCCAGTCTAATGGAGGAGACAGCAAGTGGGCAGACAAGCTGTGGGCAGGCTAGCCTGAGATGCTGCCTGGAGGGCCAGCAGCAGCATTAAGGGTGCTGTGGGCCCCAGCTGGGGGTCACTGACCTCGTAGGACTGGTAGTGTGGCCTGTTGGGGTCCAGCGAGAGCCTCTGCTAGAAATCAGGGTGTCTCTCCTGGCTGACCCTTCAGGGCTTCTTCTCTCCAACACTCAGACAGGCCCACGTTGGGGGTTCGAATCGGCACTCGTGGGTTAGCACCGTTGGAGGAGAGCACGCCAAGCCTATGCTTTTCTGCCTGCAGGGAGGGCAGCTTTTGCCCCCTGGCATCAGAACCTGCCTGACCCGAGCAGGGCGCAGGCTGAGTGAGCTGCCTTGGGCTGGAGGACCTCCTGAGGTCCTTGGGGGCACCAGCGGGGGCAGGTGTATTCTCTGAGCGTCCTTCCACGGTGAGATTGGCACCATCTTGGCTCTTCTGCCTTTGGCCTGCCCGTGGTCTCCAGAGCCGTTCCTCCCAGGCTGTTGGGGACAGAAATACATTTGGATCTGTGCTGGGCAGACTGCATAAGGTAACCCTTAGAACACATTCCTTCAGATGTGAAACGTCTTGGACGTGCTGCTGCAGACGTGCGAAGAGGCCTCAGTGATGCCCTCACTGGGATAGACCTTAAGGGAGAGCAGGATGGTGGCTGTGTCCCTGCCCCCAACTGCCTGGCCACATGCAGCGGGGCCCGGCCTCTGCCACGCCCAGCCGTAAGAGTCCAGCTGGCTGGCGGTGCCCAGGCCACCAGATAACTAGGGACCGTTTGGGTTTCCTTGGCTGGCTTACTCTTTCTCATCATCAGTTGGTGAGTCAGACGCTTGTACCAAGTGCCTCTGCTGACAGTGAAGCCCTTAGCTATGTGCCGAGCTCTGTGCTAGGGGTGGGAAGGCCTCCCTGGGAATACCCTGGAGAGAAGAGAAGGGTTTGCTGCACTTGGCGGGTGTCAGGTGGGCCGCGGTAAAGAGACTCGTGCCAGAGGGTTCGTTGGGGTCATCCTTGGGGGGCAGATCTGGTGTGTATTGGGCTGGAGTGTGGGTCAAGCCCACATTTCTAGTTAGTGATGCCCAGAGAGGAATAGCTGGACATGGGTTTCTCATTGGAAACATTCCTCCGTGTTTTCTGGCTTTCCCGAGATCACAAGAAGCACCCAGTGGGGCCGTCCCCTGGCCCGTGTGTCCAGGACTCGCCTCAGCCCCTCATCTGCTGCCATGTGACCCCCTGCTTCTTCCCTCAGATTTGTCCGTCAATGCATCACCCCCAGGCAGCCCAGAATGAAGAAAGCTAGCAGGACGACCGTGTCAGCACCCAGACCGGCGGGGACAGCTAAGAGCAAGCCAGACGGCCTGACAGGAGGCAAGCTTTCCAAGCCCAGCACAGCCTCGTTGACCAAGGTAGTGGGGGTGTCCGAGGGAGGGGGAGACACAGCTGAGGGGCCAGAGGGCCCTGCCCTGTGATCCGGCCTCAGACACTCACCCGCTGTGTGTGTCACTGCGCAAATCACTTTACTGCTGCTGCCTGCCTCACTGTCCAAATGAGGTCCTATTCACAAAGTGCCTTACACACTTTAAACTGCTGTAGAAGCACTAGCTATTATTACTGGTATCTGTGTGTCTCTGGGCCTGTTCCCTCATCTGTAAAGTGGGTACCCTGTGTGCCAGGCCAGGTGCTGGGCTCCGTGGTAGGGATGTTTTGGTGAGAGGCTCATGGCTTGGGAGAGGGGGCCGAGGGCCTGGGAGGAGCTCTCCGATGTCCAGCCTGGGCCAGGGGGGACAGAGGGGTTGGGGGATGGCAGCCCATGGGTGCAAAGGGCAGCCAGGAGGCGCTGCATCCCCGAGGGGCTGAAGAGAGGGCTCTGTGAGCTTTTCAGGCCCTGTCCTCAGCATCACCGCATTGCCTACGTCTCTGCGGGGCTTCCTGGACCCTCAGTTCAGGGGCCAAGCCATTGGGCGTTGGTGGCCTTGTTTCTTTGAAAAGATTACATCAAAACAGCCCCTGGAGCCAACACTGAGTCCTGCAAATCCCCTCACCTCCAACCTGGCCCAGAAAGGGCTGTCTCCCTCTGCCCTGTCCCCAAAGCCTGGTGTCCCAAGGCTAGTCCTCAGTGGGCTTCTGGTGTAGATGCCTCTGGCTCCCTCTGCTCCCCTGCCTGGGGTCATCTGGGACTGTGCAGGCCTCTCTGAGCCCCTCTCCTGCATTCCTACTGCACGCCACACCACCACCAGGCTCACAGGCAGCCTCCCCTAGGGCTCCCCAGAATCAGCCGCTGGAGACTCCTCCCTGGGACTCCCTTCCCCCACATTTCCCTCTTCGGTGGAAGGTATTTGTATGTGCATGTTCCCTTTCTTCCTCTCCAGTCTCCACCCCCTCCCCTCCCCCCTCCCCTCACCTCCCCTTCCCTCCTCTCCCCTCCCCCCTCTCTCCTCCCCCTCTCCCTCTTCTCCCCTCCCCCCTCACCTCCTCTCTCCTCCCCAAAGTCCCCCTCCTCTCTCTCCCCTCTCCCTCTTCTCCCCTCCCCCCTCACCTCCTCTCTCCTCCCCAAAGTCCCCCTCCTCTCTCCCCCTCTCCCTCTTCTCCCTCCCTCCTCTCTCCTCTCTCTCCCCTCCCTCTCTCCTCTCTCCTCCCTCCCCTCCTCTTCCCCCTCTCCCCTCCTCAGTCCCATTCCAAGGCCACCTCTGTCTAATGGGGTGTTGGGGATCACTTCTCTGGCCTTCTCTTTGCTTTGGACACCTTGTGGCTGGTTCTCTTCCAGTGTCTGCACGCGTGCCCTTCGTGAACATGTGGAGGGAGCATTAATTCTGGCTGCCATGGACGAGGAGTTCCTCTGGGTGGCAGCCCTTCCGGGCCCCCTCTTGACTTTGTAGGGTGCTGGCTGCAGCTGCTGTTTTGTTGGGTGCTGGGGCTGGTGTGGTCCAGAGTCTCAGGGAGAGCCCCACTAGAGCGGTCTGAGCTCTGCTCTGGCCTTGGGTCTGAGCAGTGGGCCTGCGGGCCGGCTGCCCTGTCCTCGGGCCCTTTTGGAGTTAGATGACCTTGCTCAACGTCCATCCAAGCACAGGCCCCTCCTCGGGACTTCCTGGCTAGGAGGTGGGGGGCCCAGTTCTTGCGGCCTGCCCACATCTGGGGCCTCTCTGGCCCCTAGCTCCTCAAACCTCTGTGTTGCTGGCTGTGCCTGGCTGGGCAGGAGGACTCTCAGGTGTGTCTTATGGGTCAGCGTGGAGGAGCTGGGGGCTGCCTCGCTGCTCTTCCCTTGACGCCCCCCTCATCCTCTTGGCCCTGTGCGCTTTGTTTCCAGTTCTTTTCTTCTACCAAGAGTGATGTGTACCTGTGTGGAGGGGGCTTGTCTTCCCAAGCCACCTCCAGTGTTGATGGTTTTTGCTGACTCAGTGGGTGTGGTAAGAAGCCTCTGGGGTGGCCATGACCTAGCCTTTGGGGACCTGCTGTGGTCTGGCCCAGCACTGCCATAGCCATGTGAGCGCCTTGGTTCTCCACAGGGTTAGGGGCGGGCCTGGTGCCTGAGCTCCTTTCAGGGCACCCTTGAGCCATTAAGAAGCCCCTCTTAGTGGGGAAGCCTTCAGAAGGAAGACTGACTTGGCCCTGAGGAGCCAAAGACGCCTTCCTCCGGCTGCAGGCCTGGGGAGCCAGCTGCATCATTGTTAAGTGGCTGGAGTGGGACGTGGGCTGGGTGGCCGGGGCCTTTGGGCTGTGAAGGGGCATCCCTGACAGGGATGGGGGGATGGGCTGCTGGGCTGGGGTGGGCCCAGTAATTCACCTTCCTCTTGTAAAGCATCTGGGCCTCTGGTTCAGAGAATCCTCTTCTGGCCAGGCTGGGGGCCAGTCCATCAGCCTGTCAGTCAGCATTTCTCTTTCTCCAGGGTGATTGGGAGTGGGGTGGAGGGAGCATGTCCATTTCTCATTCATGTTTCTGGAGAAATCTAGATGCCACGCGGCCTAGTGTGAGGTGGGTCCCCACAGGCCAGGGTCCCTGGGCCCAAGGAGGAGGGCTCCCAAGCCCGCATGTTGCGTTGGAAAATAAGAGCAGTCATCATAATTGCTAAGCTATCTGTAGCGTTTACTATGTGCCAGGCATTTCTAGGTTGGGAGCTTGAGGACCTGGGGGGAGTGTTGCCCTCGACAGTCATAGGAATGGGAGGAAAGGGCAGGGTTTGGGGGGAAAGGTCATGGATTCTGGGTTTTTTTGTTGTTGGTGTTGGTTTTTTTGGCAATTGGGGTTAAGTGACTTGCCCAGGGTCACACAGCTAGTAAGTGTCAAGTGTGGTCTGAGGCTGGATTTGAACTCAGGTCCTCCTGACTTCAGGGCTGATGCTCTATCCACCGTGCCATCTAGCTGCCCCACGGATTCTGTTTTAGACATGTTGTGTTTAAGCTGTTGACTGGACGTCCAGTTTGAGATGTCAGGTGTAGATGTGAGATTGGAGATTAGCAGAGAGGCAGGAGAGGTAGATTGTAGTCACCAGCACAGAGATGATCATTCAGTCCATGGGGACTGATGAGATCACCCAGAGGGCCCAGGACAGAGCCCTGGGGGACGAAGAGGGCCTGGTCTGAAGGAGGATTCAGCAGAGGAGCCCGAGAAGGCTCAGATGGTCAGAGGGGGAGGTGTCCCAAAAACTGAGAGGGAAGAGAGTGTCCAGGAGGGCGCCCAAGGCTGCAGAGAGGTGAAGGAGCCGGGCCCATTAGCTAAGAGATCACTGGGGACTTGGGTCAGAGGCCGGACTGTAAGGGATTAAGAAGAGAGGGGGAGAAGGAAGTGGAGGCACCAGTGTAGACGCCTTTTGGAGGAGTTTAACCACAGTTCAGGGCACAAGAGAGAGGACAATGCGGGTGAGGGGGAGGCAGGGCCAGGTGAGGTGTCTTCAGGGTGGGGGAGCCCTGGGCATGTCTACAGGCTGTGGGAAGTGGTCCAGTGGACAGGGAGAGACTGAAGAGGAGGGAGAGACAAGGGCAGCCTCGCTGCTTCGAGGAGATGGGATGGAATGGGCCCCCTGAGGTCAGGACGAAGGTGGGGGGGTGGAGGAGCAGGAGGAGGAGAGAGGGGCACTGACCTGCGCTGGGGGCCTTTGGAACTCCCCAAGATTGGAGGAGGAGGCAGCCCCTGCAGTGACCAGGCCTGCTGGTCTGCCTGCCCAGCCTCCCTTCTCTAGGCCTTTCCCAGGCTTGGCCCCCGGCCCAAATTCTGCCCCTCTCCCTGCTGCCCTGCGCAGTTCTCCTAGGCTTCCTTCTCTGGCTTGGTGCACCGAGCCTGGTCCTGCGTGCTCCATGATGCACGCCCTCACTTGTGTGCTGGGGATGTATTTTCTGGATATCCCCGTGGATGGGACTTTTTCTTGTTGGGGCTGTTGCTCCGTGGGCACCGGGCAGGGGTGGGTTATGGGGCATTAGGGCTGCTTCCCAGATGTGGACACAGAGTGCTGAGCGGCCGCAGGACTTGCCCCCGAGCCCGCACCAGGGGGCGTCTCTGTGCCCATACGCCACTGTTGTGTGTTTGCTCTCTCTCACAGGCCAAAAGCAATGATGACCTCTTGGCCGGCATGGCTGGAGCGCCAGGGACAAGCAGCATGAAAGGGAAGAAGACATGCCCGGCGGTGGCCTCGGCCTCCAGCGTCCTCGCCGCGAGCGCTGTGGAGAACAAGGCCAAGCCCAGCACAGGTCCTGAGCGTATTGGCTCCTTCCTGCCCTCTGTGGCCCCAGGGCCAGCGGGCTTCTCTTTGTCCACAGCCTGGGCTTGGGGGGTGGAGAGGCAGGTCCCCCCCCAGAGCTTGGGCCCCCAGCCCTCCCATCTTCCCTAAGTCCAGCTGGCCACTTTGGCCCGCCCAGCCTGCCTGGTCTCCCCGTTCAGGCCCTTCGCCACACTGATGTTCCCGTGGTTTTCACTGCCCGTCTGGTGCCCACCCTCCTGCCTCGCATTGTAGCCCACAGCTGGTTCCCTCTCCTGCCTCTGGGTACTTGCCTAGGCTGTACTATCCTCTGACCCCTGAGTGCCTTTGGGCAAGCTCCTGCCCCAAGCACTGGGCTCTCCTGGCTTTTTTGTCTTTGTCTCCTGACTCCTGGGCACTGAGTAGCTGCTTAGTGAGTGCTGGCTGGAGCCCGCCCAGTTTCTGCTGTAGTTGTTTTTGTTTTTGTTTTTGTTTGGGCTAGGCAATGGGGTTAAGTGACTTGCCCAGGGTCACACAGCTAGTAAGTGTTATGTGGCTGAGGCTGGATTTGAACTCAGGTCTTCCTGAATCCAGGGCCGGTGCTCTATCCACTGTGCCACCTAGCTGCCCCCCCAGTTTCTGCTCTAGAAAGTTCTAGAGTCCTGGATGTCTGGGTCAGTCTCAGGGGCTTGCTGCAGCCCAGCACTCTCTCGGTCTTGCCATACTACCCTGGCTCCCTGGCCACTCCTGCTCTTCCTCTCAGACGGGGTGAGGACCCCAGGAGGAGTTTGGCCCTGGCCCCTGCCTGGGTCTCCACACTTCTTCTCCCCCGCCTCCATCCTGGCACGCCAAGACCTTGTCTCATGTTCCCTCCTGTCTGCTTTGTGCTCCCTTCCTCATCCCTGGGGATTCATCCTCCTTGGCCAGTTCTGCCCTTTCTCCTTCCACGAAGGTCCCTCTGCGGGTGAATGACGGGGCTGTCCATCAAGGGGAGCGGGCAGGCGCCTCGTCTCTCCTTGTCCCCTTCCCCTTGTCCGTCGGGTGCCAAGTCGTCCCCGGAGGATTCCTTTCTTGGGCTTCTTTCCCTCGGCCCTAGCCCAAGCTTGGTCCCTGGGACCCTCCGTTGCCCCTCCTGGCTTCCTCACTGCTCTTCACCTCACTTCCCTCTGTCCAGTTGACCTGTGGTTACCAGATGGGCTCCCCAAAAGAGCGTATCCTTTATCATTCCCTTGTTCATGAAGATGCGCTGGCTCCCTCTGGCTTGGGGGCCTGCCAGGAGGCACTCCCAGAAATCTGGGGTCCTATTCCAGACTGTGTGAGGCCTTTCCCCGGGAAAGGCAAGCCCTTGAGGCAGGGCGCACCTGTCCCTCTGTCCTTGCTGTCCTGAGGGCGGCCGGATGAGTTCCTGTCCTCACTCTGCCCTACGGCCCTGGGCACTGGCAGGTGCTGGCTGGCCTTCTGAGCTTCCTTGGGAGCTTGGCTGGACTTGTTGGGTCTTGGGCCTGCAGCATAGCTTGGCCCCCCAGCCTCAGCAGCATTCTTGTGTCGAGTGGGAAGGGGCAGGAGGCTCCCTACCTTTCCAGGCAGCTGCTTCCATTTTTGAATGTCTCCGATTAGGGAATTCACTCTTCTGTCCAGCTCAGCCTCCTTTGGCCTCGGTTCTCCTCTGTGAAGTCAGTGAGAACAAGGCCACATCAAGGCCCGTTGACAGCCCTTGGCAGGACAGAAGGCAACGTGCCCTCTCCCCGCCTGAGCCTCATGAGTGGCCTTGAGCTCTGTTGATGCGATTTTGAGTCTCCTCTTGGAGGTTGTCCGTGGAGCCCAGAACTCCTCCCCCTGCTCCAGGAGGGCTTGGGGTCTGGCTTCTTTCAAGGACCCTCGGTTTAGACTGGGTGGGGAGCTCAGAGCTCATCCTGCCCGGTACCTGACCTGAATTTACCAGAGGAGAAAACTGAAGAAGCCGAGCAGTGTCTGTCCAGTCTGGCCTCTGTGAGCCCCCTGCCCTGCCCTGCCCATTCCTGGCTCTTAACCAGGTGTGCTGACTGCTGAGGCTCTGCTCCCTGCGGGGAGGGCTACGGGCCTTGCCCGTGACTGACCCTGGTGCCTGAAATGCCCTCCAGGGCAAGGCTGTGCTGGCTCCTCAGAGCCCAGCTTTGGAAGCTGAATCCTTTCACCCTTCAGGGCTTCCTTGGTTTCCCCCATTGTCCTGTAGGGGAGGGAGTCACATCACTTCTCTGAGTCAGGGGTCGTGTGGGCCACGACATGGGGTGAAGGCTTGTTTTCTCTGTATCTCACAGGCACGAGCTCCAAAAGAAACACGTCTGCCGGGAGCAAAGAGCCCAGCTCCGCTCGTGAACGGCTGCGGGAGCGGCCTCGTCTGAGCCTGAGCAAGAGGGTGCCCGCCGCAGGCCAGGGCCCTGGCGATCCTGCACTGGCACTGACCAAGCGCTCCCGGAGCCGCGGGAGTGCCGAGACGGACGTGCGCATGAGCAAGTCCAAGTCAGACAACCAGATCAGTGACAAGGCGGCCCTGGAGGCCAAGGTGCAGGACCTGCTGGGGCTGGCCAAAGCCAAGGATGTGGAGATCCTCCGCCTGCAGAACGAGCTGCGGGACATGCGGGGGCAGCTGGGGCTGTGCGAGGAGCCCCCAGAGGGCGCGGCCCATGTGGAGGCCACCTTGCTGCAGCTCCAGGACCATAACACCACCGTCCACCAGAAACTCAGCCGGCTGAAGAACGAAAACAGGATGCTCAAGGACCGCTTGAATGCCCTGGGCTTCTCACTGGAGCAGGGGCTCGACCAGCCCGAGAAGCTGTTTGCCTGCCAGTCCTTGAGCCCTGACATGACGGCGCCGGTGGCATTGGTGAGCGGCAGCCCCGGCGACGGAGGTGGGGGCGCGCTGGCCTCGTCGGCTGAGGGCTCAGCCCAGGGCTCCCTGGAGGACCTGCTGAGCCCGGATGAGCCGGCGCCCATGGGCCGCCCGCAGAGCGCGTCCCTGGACAACCTGGACAGCGAGTGCAGCGAGGTGTACCAGCCGCTGACGTCGAGCGATGACGCCTTGGACGCGCAGGGCTCCTCGCGCTCCCCGTCGGCCTCGTCCTCAGGCTCGGAGGCCGAGGGTCCACGGGGCCGGGGGCGGCAGCGGCGGGGGACACGGGAGCAGGGTGAGGCGGCCTCGGTGGCATGCCTGACGGAGCGTCTGCAGCAGATGGAGGAGAACCAGCACAGCACATCTGAGGAGCTGCAGGCCACACTGCAGGAGCTGGCCGACCTGCAGCAGATCTCACAGGAGCTGGGTGGCGAGAACGAGCGTCTGGGCGAGGAGCGGCTGCTGCTGCTGCAGTCTCTGTGCCAGCAGAGCGAGCGCCTCGAGCTCCTGGGCCGCCAGCTTGAGTACCTGCGCTCGCTGCTTGACGAGCACCACGTCGCCTACGTGCTCGACGAGGATGTCAAGAGCGGCCGCTACCTGGAGCTGGAGCAGCGCTTCCTGGAGCTGGCGGAGAGTGCACGCTTTGAGCGCGAGCAGCTGCTGGGTGTGCAGCAGCACCTCAGCGCCGCCCTGCAGATGGCCGAGCAGGACAACAAGGACGCGCAGGAGCTCGTCGGCGCCCTCAAGGAGCGCAACTTGCACATGGAGCGTGCCCTGGAGGCCGAGCAGAAGAACAGTGCCTCCCTGGCTGCTGCCCTTGAGCAGCACCAGGCCACCATGGCTGGAGACCAGCTGGAGCTGGGCCGCCTGCGTGCCCAGCTTGAGAGCGAGAAGCAGCGCGTGGCTGAGCTCTATTCCCTCCACAGTGCAGGGGACAAGTCGGACATCCAGGACCTCTTGGATGGCGTGCGCCTGGAAAAGGACAAGGCCGAAGCCCTAGCTAGCGGCCTGCAGGAGGACCTGAACCACGCCCGGGCCGACGTTGCCCGTCTGCAGGACGCCATCGCCAAGGTAGGTGGCAGCCCGAGGTGGGAGGGGAGGCAGGCTTGGGAGCTGACCCATGAGGTGTCTAAAGGAAGAGATAGCCGTGGTGGCAGAAGGGATTGAGCACCTACGGTATACCAGGCCCTGTGCTGGGTACTGGGAATACCAAAAGAGGCAAAAAGACAGAGAAGCTCACTGTCTGATGGGAGAAACAATGTGTAGACAGATAGATATGAAACAAGCTTTATACAGGATAAATAAAAAATAATTAGTGGAAGGAAGGCCCTAGCATTAAGAAGAATCAGGGAAAGCTTCCTGTAGAAGGTGGCATTTTAGTTAAACTGAGACTTAAAGGAGGCCATGGTGGTCAGTCAGTAGTCAGAGCTGAGAAGGGAGGGTGTTTCAGGTGAGGGGACAGCCAGAGAGAATGCCTGAAACTGAGAGATGGACGCAGCCAGGAGACTGGTGTCACTGTGAGGAAGAGAGTGTTTGTGGTGGGGAAGAGAATGAGGCGTCATAAGACTGAAAAGGTAGGAGGGGGCAGGCTTTAAATGTCAAACAGCATTTTGTATTTGGTGCTGGAGTTTATTGACTGAAGTGGTCAGACCTGTGCTTCAAGGTGATCACTTTTGGAGGCTGAATGAAGGGTGGAGTGGAGAGGGGGAGAGAGTTGAGGCAGACAGACACCCTCCTCCCGCCAGCAGATTTTACAGTAGAACAGGTATGAGGCAATGAGAGTCTGTACCAAGGTGGGGGCAGTATCAGAGAAGAGAAAGGGGCATATTGAAGAGATGCTGCAGAGGTAGAGGTGAAATGGACCAAATACATTGCAGAGGTGAAATGGACCAGGGGTGTGGCAGAGGTGAAATGGACCAGATCAAATGTCTAGTGGACACACCTTGGCAGCTTATTGGCTTTAGGGAGGGTGAGAGAGTGAGGAGACCAGAATGACTTCTATGTTGAAGCCTGAGGGACTGGGGTAGGGGAGGGTATTGCGCTCAACAGCAATAGAGAAGGTGGAGCAGGGAGAGTTTAGGGGGAAAGATAATGAGTTCTGTCTTGGACATGGTATGTTTTAGATGTCTACAGGACATCCAATTTGGGTTGTCTGAAAGGTAGTTGGAGCTGTGAAAATGAAGAGCATCAGCAGAGAGATTGGACCAGGCTGGGGAGATTTGAGAATCAGCATAAAGATGATAATTGAATCCAAGAGAAGTGATGAGATCCGCAAGTGAAGTAGTATAGAGGGAGAAGAGAGGAAGGCCTAGGATAGAACTGTGGGTCGCGACGTCTGTGGTCAGAGGGCATGCTCTGGGGTCTGGAGCCAGCAGGCTATTGGCGGTCTTCTCCTCATTTCACCAGTGGTCTGACAATCACACTGAGCTGATGATCACTCCGCCCTGCTCACCCTGGGTCTCAGGCTGACTGTTCAGCTCCCACTTGGGCTTGGCAGTGCTCCCCGGGTGGGTCTGTGGGGGTGGGGATGCTCTGCCCTTGATTTTTCTGTCACCCTCACTTCCCAGTAATCAGCCCCCTGGCCCCTCAGAACTCTGTGTGCACAGTGGTTGGGTCTAGAATAACCTGCTGGTGCAGGCCCTTGCCAGGGTATGCTGAGGCATTGCTTGGTTGCGCCAGCCAGGCAGGGTGCCAGGGCCTCTCCTCTGTGAGAGAGTGGGGCTGGAGGGGTGGGGCCTGGTGCTCATCCCCACCTAATGGCCTCTTCAGATCTCGTAGTGGAGTAATAGCAGAAATGGCCTGGGTCGGTTTTAGACCTCCTTTGGCAGGTGTGTCTCTCTCCTTGAAGAGCCTTCTCTCAGGCCCAATGAACAGATCCCTGGTTCCCGACTTTCTTCACTTTTCTACTCCTCTAGGTGCCTGCTCACTCCTGTCAGACTGCAACCTTGGGCCCTCATCGGCCTTTAGCCAGCGGTCCTCTGGTCCTCAGGGTGGGGACATCAGAAAGGAATCCCCTGAGTCCTCATTCTGCAGGGGGTCACTTTTTTTTTTTTAGGCAGTTGGGGTTAAGTGACTTGCCCAGGGCCACACAGTAAGTGTCAGGTGTTTGGTCTGAGGCCAGATTTGAACTCAGGTCCTCCTGACTTCAGGGCCGGTGCTCTATCCACTGCGCCACCTAGCTGCCCCCAGGGGGTCGCTCTTGTGGGACCCAGGCCACTTCCTCCCCATGTTTCTTGGCTGTAGGTCCAGGAGGAGTATGGAGGCTTCCAGGAAGAGGCCCAGAAGAAGATGGGAGAGCTGAATATGGCCTTGGAGAAGCTGCGCTCCGAGCTGGAGGAGAAAGAGACAGAGCGAGGAGACATGAAGGAGACCATCTTTGAGCTGGAGGACGAGGTGGAGCAGCACCGAGCCGTGAAACTCCATGACAACCTCGTCATCTCCGACTTGGAGAGTGAGTGTGTGCGCTCATGGGGCCTCAGTCACGGGAGTCATGGGGATCATGGGGTCACCAGAGTTATGGGGTCATGGGGATCATGGGGGTCTCAAGGATTGTGGGGGTCATGAGGGCCTCAGGGGTCATGGGGATCACAGGGATTGGTGAGGTCGCGGGGATCATAGGGTTGCAGGGGTGGTAGGGTCATGGGGTTGCGAGGATCATGGGGGTCACAGGAGTTGTGGGGGTCATGAGGATTGTGGGGATTGCAGGGATTACAAGGGTTGGGGGGTCATAGGGGTCTTGGGGTGGGAGGGGACCTTGCTGCTACCTTGGCCCACCTTCCTCATCCTCCCTAGGGGCCAGTGTTTGGGGAGTCCTAGGGATCCCCATCCCCACGGGCACAGCTGCCCCCTCAGCTGTGGGGGCGGAGGTGTTCCTGGAGTGTCAGCTGTGGGTCGGCTGGTCTTCCTTTGGGTCTGAGAATGCTGGTCTCACCAGACAACTCCAAAAGTAGTTGCAGTAGCAGCAGTAGTAGGAATAGTAGTGGTAGCAGCATTTATTGAGCACCTGCTGTGTGCCAGACACTGGGTTAAGTACTCTATAACTATTATAACTATGTTATAATATATATATTATAATTATTATAATATGTATAATTATTATCTCATTTGATTCTCACAACATCCTTAGGAGGATCATGCTATTGTTTGTTATATTCAGGAAACGGAGGCATGCTGTTTAAGTAACTGGCCCAGGGTCACCCAGCCAGGATTTAAGCCCAGACCCAGTGATCTATGCATTCTGGTGCCCCCTCACAGCCACACATAAAATTAGCCCTTTCTGCCTCCAGGGCCAGTGCTCTGGGCACTGTGGCGCCCCCTCGTGGCCCCAGGAATTAGAAGTCATTGAACCAGCTGCTTTTCTGGAAGCTGTCAGGATTAGAAGGGCCTTAAGAGGTGGTGTTTGTCCTCGACTCCTTCTCCTGGGATGCAGGTGTGCGCTCAGATGTCTGCCTCCATGCTGCTTATCAAGGCTGAGAGGGGGGACCCGCAGAGAAGGAACAGCCAGCCAGGGAGCCTCTGGGAATGAATCCTGGGCTCCCATCGGCTGCCTGGGGACTCTGCAGGGCCTGTGGGAGGCTGGGAAGCTGGGCCTGTGTGCATGAGGTCTCGGGCAGAATTATGAAGTGAACTCTCTGTGTCTTTGGAGAGAGAAGAGGGTCATGGGGGTCCTTGAAGAAAGGGCTTTGCCTCAGGTCTTAAGTTTGCACACCACAGGGTAGCAAATGAAGATTAGAAGTGACTTCTGTGAGTGCCTGGACCAAAGCCTAGCTTAAGAAGGAAGCTAGGACTTCTCATGTTTAACCTAGCTGTGAAAATCAGTCGGGATGCCTGAGCTAAGGAGTCTGCACTTTGTAGGCTGCGTGACCTCAGGCCAGCCCATCTCTTTTCTGAGGCATTAGGGCTGAAGATTTCCCCACTCTAGGGTTGTTTGATTCACACGTTGACCAGAAAGCTGGGGTAGCTCAGGCTGGACCAGGGTGGGCCAGGATCAGGGGCTCAGGGCATGGGCAGGTGGCCCTGGCTTCATGTATGTGACATCCGTACGCTTGTGGGAGTGTCATGACGACCTTGGGAGGCAGGCAGTACAGAGGTGATTGTTTCTGTCTCACAGAGGTAGTGATGGAGTGACCTGCCTGGATCACTCAGCGAGTGTCTCAGCTGGCATTGGAGCCTGTGTCTTCTTGACTCCATGTCCAGTGCTCTGTCCATGGTGCCACCCTGGCTTTCTTAGTCCTGGCTTTGACGCTTGATTGTGTGAACTTGGACAAGTCAGTTGACCTTTCTTTGCTCCTTTGTCAAGTGAGATGTGTGATGCTCATGTGGTGACCTATTTGGTACAAGAATAGTGGGCTTCATCAGCCACATGAAAACATGCGGATGGGGAGGTGATGCCTGAGATTGGTGAGGAAGGGACTGTGAGCTTCCCTAGATGAATTCATATCCCCTGGCCCAGGTGTCATGCACCCAGTCCCCTGGGGTCTGGAAAGAACTGTCAGGTAGCCCTACCTAGCCATTGTCAGTGACAGTTGAAAGATCATGGAACCCCAGCATTGGAAGGGTGTGAGTGTCTTGATTTTCAGACCAGGGAAGAGAACAGAATCAGTGGCCTCTTGGCCAGTGACTTTGTCTTTTCCAGTGGCTCATTAAAGAGCCGGCTAGTGAATCTCTGCTAAGGGCCGTGGTGACTGCCAACAGCCAGCCTGCCTGGCTCAGCAAGCAGAGGTCGTGCTGGGCTCGTGGCTTTTTCCGACAGGTTGACTAGTGACGAGTCGGGGTGCTGCAGGTAGAAGGGGGTGTTCAGAGGGCCTGCTTCCTACCTGGTTACAGGGAGCCCCCACACCTCACTGCACAGCCCATCTGAACTGATCTTCATGCCCTTCCTTCCTGTGATACTCCATCTCTCATGCCCATGCTTTCATAATGATTTGCAAACAGATTTGCTCCCCAGGTGAAATGTCAGCTGCTTGAGGGCAGAAGTGTTTTCTTCTCATTTTTTTTTTGTTTTGTGTCTTTCTGTGTTGGCACTTAATATATGCTTGATTGATTGAGAGTTTACTTAGACTAGGGTGGGGAGGTCTGGTCCTCAGTCTGGGCCCCATCAACTTTTAAAAATTTTTTATAAGTATTTCAAAATCACTAATTTTCTTTGTAATCCTGTATTACTTTATACATTTGAAAACATTCTTAGAAGGGGTCCATAGCGTTCCCTTGTCTGCCCAAAGGATCCACGACACTCAAAAAGGCTAAAATCTGCAAAGCGTTTCATCACATTTCTCATACTGTTCTTCCAGGGAAAGGATGGAAAGATGGGGATTAAATGATAATACAGTCACAAGGCTGTCATACTGTTTGGAGGTCTCCATTGGAGTGTCACAGGAATCTGTGGCAAAAAGCTGATGTGAGCTTTGGCTGTGTGAGCCAGCGGCTGAGGTTCCAGGATATGGGCCCTAAGGCTTTGGACCCTGCAGCTTAGGAAGGACACAGACAAGCTGAGGTGTGCCCTGAGGGGGACCGCAGGGGCAGGGCAAAGGAACTGGTGACCTTAACCTAGGAAAGAGAAGATTCCCTGAAGCACACTCTCTCCCTTGGAAGTGTGAATGGAGCCTTGAAGCCAGACAGAGGTCGCTCATGGGAGCACCGTCCCGGGTTCACTTGTGAGCTCCCATTCTCGGAGCCCTCCCAGCAGAGGCTGGGGTGTTGTAAGCAGTGGGTATGTCTCCTCAGGGACCTTCCTTCCCACTCTGAGAATCTGTCTCAGACGGAAGGGCCAGGGACAGACCAGAGATCTCCAGGGCAGCTCAGCTGCTACTCCTGCATCACTGGGTGTGTGCCCCAAGGGTGCCTGAGGGAGACCCCCCCCCCCCAGTCATCTCAGCAGCCAGTGAATGAAGGCTGAGGGAGGACCCTCTGAGCTGGGGACCATGGCTTGGGCCTGGGCCCAGCTGGCAGGGGGCAGTAATTGGGGTGACCACATCCAGGTGTTTGTGCGATGCCCATGGGGCACACAGGCAGCAGAGACAAAGACAGACTAAATGAGAAAGCCTGTCCATTTGCCTGTGGGCAAAAAAATGGTATGAAACGTAGGAGGAGGTGATGGGGAGCTCTGGAGGTGCTTCGGGGACAGTGTCCCAGTCAGACTTGTGTCAGCAGGAGGCCATTGGAAGAGTCCAGGTGGAGGTGATGCTGTGGTGGGGAGAGCCTAGCTTGGGAGCCACCTCCTTGGGTGATGCCGCGTGGGGCCCAGGTCTGGTGATGTGTGGTTGTCAGCTGGCCAGGGAGAAGTCTTGGGTCAAGGGAGGAGAGGGAACCCAGGGCAGGGGCATTGACTCAGTGAAGCCCAGGGTAGGGCGTGAGATGTCAGGGTCCCAGTCTCCTGTGGGCCTGTGCTGGGGAGCTTTACTACAGCCCCAAGAGCCATTCTCTGCTTAGAAGGGGCAGAGGTGAGGCTGCCGTGACGCGGACACCAGTGGCTTTAGCTTCATCGCTTACTTCTGCCAGGCAGGCCGATGTGTGTTGCCACGGACACAGGTCCCTTCCCGAGGGGATCTGGTCACTGCTCTCCCACTTGGGCACTGGGCAGCTCTCTGTGGCCACGCTGCTGAGGAGGTGGTGAGCACTGCTTGGCCACGTGCTCTCAGCAGCTCAGCTTCCCTGCCCTGGACACCAAACATTCCACAAGTGGGGACCTCCCTGACGGCTCCGTGTCGTTCCTTGGCTTTGTGCTGCTCTGTGGTCGTCCCGCACCCTTCCCAGGTCAGCTCAGCCTAGAAAATACCTCTGTGTGTGTGTGTGTGTGTGTGTGTGTGTGTGTGTACGTGTCTGCTGCTGATGACATCCTGCTTCCCAGATGCCCCTGTGGTATGGCTGTGGGCAGCAGTCTGAGGCCATCACCTGAGCTGGCACATCCCTGTCCAGTTGCCAACATGCAGACAGACTCCAAGAGGAGCGGGGTCTTCTCTGACTCAACCTGCTCTCTGTGAAGGTGTCTCTTGGAAGACGGGCTGGGGATCTGGCCGATGGATGATTGGAGAGGAGAAGCAGAGAGAGAGAGAGAATGCTTAGGAAGAACCTGGTGAGACTGGACACGGAATGACTGAAGACTGGCTGCCGAGGCAGGAGGGAGCGTGATGAACCCTTCCGAGCACCCCCCGAAATAGAGTGATCCTCTGTCAGGACAAGGAGAGGACTTTCCTGAGACTGGACAGTCCTTCCTGAGGCAGCCGTCGACCCTTGGACCACGGGCACGGGAGAGGAGAGCAGGGATGGCAGCGTTAAAAAATGACAAGGCCACCTCCAGTGTGCCTTATTTTATTTTTTTTGAGGCAGTCAGGGTTAAGTGACTTGCCCAGGGTCACACAATTAGTAAGTGTCAAGTGTCTGAGGCTGGATTTGAACTCAGGTCCTCCTGTCTTCAGGGCCAGAGCTCTAGCCACTGTGCTGCCTAGCTGCCCCACCAGTGTGGCTTATTAGAACAAGGGGTTGACCCTGATGGATGGAGGAAAGAACATTGCTGTCGATGGCTGTGTCAGTAGACAGCTAGAGGGTGCCACTCTAGAGTCAGGAAGACCGAGCTTGGATCCAGCCTCAGGCATGCCCTAGCTCTGGGACCCTGGGCAAGTCACCTGACCTGCCTGCCTGAGTTTCCTCATCTGTAAAATGGGCATCGTACTGGCACCTTCCTCCCAGGGTGGTTGTGAGGATCCATTGAGGTGATAACTGTAAAACGCTCTGTGAGACCTTGCAACGCTGTATGTGTGCACTCTTACGCTAACTTCCTGGAGGTGGAGTTTGCCCACTGGTGATGAGACGTGTCAGCCAAGGACCCACACCACTCTGTGGTAAAGTCAGGCACGGATGACAGAAGCACGCCAGAGGAAGTCGGCCACAAGGGCCTCCATGAATGAAGCTGGAACAGATGCCCTGTTCTCCCTCCAGTGCAGGCCCTTCCCCAGGTTCCCCATTATGGTTCTGAAATGGCCAGTCGAGCAGGCGATGGCTGGATCAGGAGAGCCTCTGCTCCCTCCCCAGTAGACAGAAGACATCTGACTCAGCCCACAGTGGACTGAGACGGGTAGAAAAGGCAAGATGCCCCAGGAGGCTCCTCTCCAGCCAAGTGTCCATAGGGGGAATCAAGATTGTGCCAGGAAGCCAGGCTTGACTCGTCGAGGAGGGCGTTTGCACCATCGCAGAGACTCTGCACTGAGTCCCAGTGAGGACAGGACTGGCCTGTTGGGGGTGAGGTCTCTATGTCCTTCATTGGTGAATTCTGTGATACCCATCCCTCAGGCCCACCTGGCCCAAGAGTCCAGGGGGACTGGAGATTTCTTTCAAGAATCTGCCAAAAATGGGCCCAAATGAGCAGTAACTTGGGGTTAATGTGTGGTGCAGGCATACGTAACCTGAGAGGGTCTGCCTGCCTGCAGGCCATCCTCCGCTCAGCCACCAAAGTGCAGGCCTCCCCACTCAGTAAACCCTCGGGCTCCTTATGGCCTCCAGGATCAAATACAAAATGCTCTGTTTGGCCTTCAAAGCCCTTCCAGCCTTCTTACACCTCACCTCTTTTTCTTATATGTTCTTTTTTGTCCGGTGACACCGGCCTCCTGGTCCATCTTTCTGCTCTGGGCATTCTCTCTGGCTGTCCCCCAGGCCTGAACATCTGGGTGTCCCTCCCGTCTTTGCTCCCGCTGCTGACTGCCTGGGCTTCCTTCAAGTCCCAACTAAAATCCCGTCTTCTATAAGAAGCCTTCCCCAACCCCTCTTCTTTCCAGTTTTCCTTCTCTCATTGTACATGTTTACTTGTCTCCCTCATTAGATTGTGAACCCCTTAAGGACAACCCTAAGGGATTGTCTTTTCCCTCTTTTCATATCCCCAAGGCTTAGCATGTTGCCCCAGTACACAGTAGATACTTAATAAATGTTTATTGACTGACTAGGTAGTCAGAAGTAAGCAATATCAGGTCCTGCATATTCCCAGAGCAAGGAAGGACAGCCTTTCTTCAAAGGCCCAGAATTCAAAGAAGCAAACATTTTTTATACGCATTGTTGACTGGCTGTAGAATCATAGGTGTCATGGGAGGTATTGCAGCCACCGATGTTCTGTTGATTTTGGCCTCATAGGAGGCACTGTGGCCACCGATGTTCTGTTGGCCTTTGGCCTCATAGGAGGTGCTGTGGCCACTGATGTTCTATTGGCCTTTGGCCTCCTAGGAGCTGCTGTGGCCACTGATGAGAACATCAGTTGTTGGCCTTGCCATGAAAGGATGTTGATGAGCTGGTTATTGTCCAGACTGGGAAGGGCATCAAGTCCGGGACATTTGAGGATTGCTTGGGAAAATTGGGAGGGTTTAGCCTTGAGAAAACAAAGGGGAACGTGGTTGTCCTTCCAGTACTCCAAAGACAGCTGTCCCATTTGCTCTGCTTAGCCCCAGAGGGCAGGATGAGGAGCAGTGGGGAAAGTTGATATGTCACTCCCATTGTGAAATAGGCTACCCTGAGAAGTGGTAGGCTTCTCACTAGAGGTCTTCTGGTAAAGGGTGGATGACCTCTCACCAGGTATACAGTAGAGGGGAAATCTTTTTTCTAGGTATGGATTGGAGCAATTCATGCAATTCAGTAAACACTTATTAAGTGCCTACTATGTGCCAGGCCCTGTGCTAAGTAAGCGCTAGGAATATAAAAAAGACACAAGACAGTCCCTGCCCTCAAGGAGCTCACAGTCTAGTGTGGGAGACAACAAGCAAACAAATATGTGCAAAGCAAATTATGTATATGGTAAATAGAAAATAATTAGCAGAAGGAAGGCACTGGAATTCAGGGAAATTAGGGAAGGCCAGGTAGGAGGTAGCATGTTAGTTGGGACTTGAAGCCAGTGAGGTCAGTAGGTGGAGTGAAGAAGGAAGAGTATTCCAGGCATGCTGGAGCCAAGAGATGGAGGGTCTTGTTTGAGGAATAGCCAGGAGGCTGGTGTAGTGGGATGGAAGATGTTGGAGGGGAATAAAGTGTAAGAAGGCTGGAAGGGGAGGAGGGGGCTGGGTTAAGAGAACATTTTATATGTGATCCTGGATGCAATAGGGAGCCACTGGAGGTTATTGAGTAGAGGAATGACATGGTCAGACCTGTGCTTTAGGGAAATCACTTTGGAGAATGGACTGGAGGGAGGAGAGACTGAGGTAGGCAGATACCCCAGTGGCTATTGCCATAGTCCAGGTGTGAAGAGATGGGGATCTGCACCAGGGTGGGGACAGCATCAGAGGAAAGAGGGGGGTGTATTGGAGAGATGCTGCAAAGATGGGATCAACTAGGGATGCAGCAGAGGTGAAATGGACCAGAGGTGCTGCAGAGGAGAAATGGACCAGAGGTGCAGCAGAGGTGAAATGCACCGGAGGTGCTGCAGAGATGAAATGGACCAGAGGTGCTGCAGAGGTGAAATGGACCAGAGGTGCTGCAGAGGTGAAATGGATCAGAGATGCAGCAGAGGTGAAATGGACCAGAGGTGCTGCAGAGGTGAAATGGACAGGCAGTAGATAGGAGCAGGGGGGCAGGATGAGAGGGGGAGGAGGATGGGGGCCCCTTTCATCTGTGAGATTCTGTAATGCTTTGTACCCCCTCCACAAGCAGTCATATGAGGGTTCTGTGTGTGTACACATGTGTACATTCATGTGTGTTTGTGTGTTTAAAAGAATTTCAAAGGTAAGAAAAACCTCAGAGGTCACTTCACACCACCCATCACAGAACCAGGCCCTGTATCTATGACTTACTGGAGAAATAGCTCTTTAAAAGGTGTAGGTTTTATTCCTAGGTGACCCACAAGGAAAACAGCCCTTTTTAAAAAGTAGTGAGTAAGAAGGGGTGGTTCCTGGGGCCTTGCTGTGTGTTTCTTTGAGGCATAGCCTTACAGCTAGATTTATCACAAGAGAAATGTACGTGTCTGTGGAACCATAAGTAAGTGCCAGAAAGAGGAGGAGAAATGGAAATCTCCACCTAAATGGGAGGAGAAATCATGAATAATTAAGATGCTAGAAGGCCTGTTGTTTTTCCTTGGGAACTACTAGGTCATGAAGACAGGAGGTCTGCTCATCCACATGGGCCCCAGCTGCCTGAGCACTTTGCCACTCTGGCATAGACTGAGTGCGTCTGGCGTGACTCCAGCTTGGGGCACAAACAACACATGACATCAGTCGGGGCGGGGCGAGCTTCATCCCTGACATGTTCAGGGTCTCCCACGTGCTCTGGGTCAGTCTTTCTGGGAAATAGAGCTGCTCAGGAGGACCGGCTTGGGACCTTGACAGTGTTTTCTGCCGAGGAGCTTGGCTGGGCTGGTGACCTGATGCCACGGGCTTCTTATGTGCCAGCGACCATTTCCCATCAGGTGAAGCTGTCACTATCCTTGTCTCTGCAGACACTGTCAAGAAACTCCAGGACCAAAAGCATGACATGGATAGAGAGGTCAAGACGCTTCATCGAAGGCTGCGGGTAGGAAGGAGCCTTTGCCTTCTCATGGGTGGGGCACCTGGGTGCCTGGGGGTGGGAGGGACCGGCCTGGCCTGGTCCACTCTGAACCTGCCCCCTTTTCCGTCCAGGAGGAGTCGGCCGAGTGGCGGCAGTTTCAGGCTGACCTGCAGACGGCTGTGGTCATAGCCAATGACATCAAATCTGAGGCTCAGGAGGAGGTTGGGGACCTGAAGCGCCGCCTCCAGGAGGCCCAGGAGAAGAACGAGAAGCTTACCAAGGAGCTGGAGGAAATAAAGTCCAGAAAGTAGGTCCTGGCGGGTGCATGCCAAGAGTCTGGGGCATGCAGAGGGAAGGCGCTGGGCTCAGCGCAGATGGGCGGGCTGCCTCTTCTGACTGGCTGACATTTGGGAAAATGGTGTCTTCGTGGGGGGTGACTGGCTCCTCTGTCCCCCTTTGGTGCACCATTCCTTGTGGTTCGGTCTCCTCTCCCGTCTTCTCTAACCCTGCCTGGGCAGCTGGCAGAGGCAAAGCCTTGAGATGGAGTCATCAAAGAGAGACATTCCCATTCCTTGGGTGGGGAACCCTGCCAGGCCCCCTCTGCCTACAGGCAGCTTCTTGGGATTCCTGCTACAGCCAAGCACCGGGCCCACAAACATAGGCAAAAACAATAAAAGCCAGACCTTGCCCTCCGGGAGCTCCTAGTCTGATGGGGGAAGGGAGGCCTCGGAATTAGGAGGGGTTGAAGAGGGCTTCCCGGAGGAGGTGAGCTTTCAGTCAGCACATGAAGGAAACCCGGGTGGGGGGGGGAAGGAGAGCATTCCAGGCAGGGAGCACAGCCTGAGAGCCTGGGGCTGAGAGGGAGGCCAGAGCCTCTGGATGCAAGAGGATGTGGTAGGGAGTCAGAGAGGGTTCTGAAGGCCAGACAGAGCCTTTTGTATTGGTTCCAGGAGGCCGGAGGGAACCTCTGGAGCTTATGGAGAGGGGCAGCTAGGTGGCGCAGTGGATAGAGCACCGCCCTGAAGTCAGGAGGACCCAAGTTCAAATCCGGCCTCAGACCAAACACTTGACACTTACACTAGCTGTGTGACCCTGGGCAAGTCATGGAGCTTGTGGAGGAGCCAGTTGGTGGGGAGACCGAGGCAGGCAGAAAGAGGGGATGGGGAGGTGAGTAGATGAAGTGAAGAAGAGGCGATGTGAGAAGGAGGTGATGATGGAGAGGAGATGTGGTGATGAGGAGGAGGTAGTGGGGAAGTGAAGAAGAGGTGATGTGGTGAGAAGGAGGAGGTGAGGAGGGGGAGCGGTCAGGAGATGAAGTGAAGAAGAGGCGACGTGAGAAGGAGGTGACGGAGAGGAGATGTGGTGATGAGGAGGAGGTAGTGGGGAAGTGAAGAAGAGGTGATGTGGTGAGAAGGAGGAGGTGAGGAGGGGGAGCGGTCAGGAGATGAAGTGAAGAAGAGGCGACGTGAGAAGGAGGTGACGGAGAGGAGATGTGGTGATGAGGAGGAGGTAGTGGGGAAGTGAAGAAGAGGTGATGTGGTGAGAAGGAGGAGGTGAGGAGGGGGAGCGGTCAGGAGATGAAGTGAAGAAGAGGTGACGTGGTGAGAAGGAGGAGGTGAGGAGGGGGGGCAGTTAGGAGATGAAGTGATGTGGCGACGAGGAGGAGGTGAGGAGCACTGAAGCTCTGGGGAGGCCCCAGGGCAGGAAGGCAGGGGCCAGCTGGGGGAGCAGCTGAAGGGGAAGGAGAGGCCTGGGTTGGTTTTAGAGCAGGAGCTCCTCGAGGCTAGGTCTAGACTTTTTTGGACTGTTTTGTTTTCCCCTCCCGCCAAGGCCGGCTGTGGGCTAGGCGGATAGGAGGGCCCACGCTGCTATCAGGGCAGAGGCCGGCTCCTTGGGCAGCCAGTAGTCCGCCTGCCAGGCGTGAGCGGAGCATCCAGCCCCCGTGAGGGGCCCCGGAGGGCTGTCTGCCACTGCCCTGTGTTAGGAATGGCAGCCTTCTGAGGACGTGTTTGAGGCTGCCGGGGCTCAGGGGAGCCGGGTTCAGACCAGGTGGACGACCTGGGCCCCCCAGCCCCACATGTCATGGGCTAGTGTAGACGCTCCCTTGCCTCGATTGTTCGCAGGCAAGAGGAGGAGCGGGGCCGCGTCTACAACTACATGAACACAGTGGAGAGAGACCTGGCCGCCTTACGCCAGGGCATGGGCCTGAGCAGAAGGTCGTCAGCGTCCTCTGAGCCCACCCCGACGGTGAAGACCCTCATCAAGTCTTTCGACAGTGCGTCACAAGGTGATGGTCGCTGGCCGTGGGGGCGTCAGGAGCTGAGAGAAGCCAGAGCTGGGATGGGGCCTGGGGGGCTGTGGCCCAGGTTGAGGTCTGTGGGGCTGTAGGCTGGGGCCTCTGGCTGAGGGTTCTGGGGGCCTGGGGCCCAGGTTGAGGTTTGGGGGTGCTGTAGGTAGGGGGCTCTAGCCGAGGGGCTTGGGAGCCGTGGCTGGGGTGAGGTCTGGGGGGCTGTGGCCAGGGTGGCCTGGGGGCCATAGGCTGGGGCCTCTGGCTGAGAGTCCTGGGGGCTGTGGCCCAGGTTGAGGTCTGCGGGGGGGGGGCTGTAGGCGGGGGGCTCTGGCCGAGGGGCAGTGAGGGGGTCCCCGCCAAAGGCTGTCTTTGGGCTGGGTGGCCCTGTTTTCTGAGTGCCCCCAGCTCCCCTCAGCATGCTTGGGAGGCTGGGCCCAGGCAGATCTCTGGGCTTCTATTTTAGGCCCTGACACATTGCTTTCTCATCTGACAGGACCAACCCCAACCCCGGCTGCCGCAATGCCTCGAACCCCCCTAAGCCCAAGTCCCATGAAGACCCCCCCAGCTGCTGCTGTCTCCCCGATGCAGGTAAGGGCAGATGCTCCCTCTGTCCAGCTCGCAGGCAGCGGCCCCGGGCTCCTAGGATGCAAAGCAGGGGGGGCTCTCTGTGCATCAGGGCTAGCAGGCTCTGTGATTTCTCGGGTCTGGTGATGGGCATACTCCCACCGTCATGGGCCCAGAGGGAGCCAGGCCTGTCTCCTCCCATCCTCTTGTTCTTGGGCTCTCTTGCCAGGTGGTGGTAGGGTGGGGCAGTTGGCAGGCTGAGAGCGAGAGGGTGAGCTGAGCCTGTCCTCCATCATCTTCCCTGTGGGCCTCAGCTTGCATGGGGGCAGGGGTCGGGGGAGCAAACAGGTAACCCTGCTGGGTTCAGAGCCCCGTGCTGGGCCTCTGGTAGGGACAGAAGGGGTAGCCAGGAGGGCCCGTGGCCTTGGCAGGGTCCAAGGGGTGTGGAGGGAGGCCCTGTGGGGCCAAGCAAGGTCAGAGCTGGCTCTCAGGCTCCAGGCCTTTGCCTGTCCTGGGTGCCCATTTTACAGAAGAGAACACTGAGGGGGGGTGGAGCCTAGTTACCCCAGCTCTGCTGGTTCTCTCAGAGTGAAGTCTTCTTCGTGAGATTGCAGTCCTTCCTTGAAGGGGGCCCAGAGGGCGTATAAATACGTGATGTGTGTGTGTGCGTGTGTGAGGAGCCTAAGGCTGATTCTGTGCACGCAGCAATCGCCCCCTTGGAGATGGTGGGGGCAGGGGGAGGTCATATGGTGACTTACGGTGTCCATCTGGTCATTTCAGAGGCACTCTATGGGCGGCTCCTTATCTACCACCAAGCCCCTGCCTGCTCTGTCGGACAAGAGGCCAAACTACGGAGACCTTCCCTGCCAGGGTGAGCACTCGGGGCACAAGCTTCCTAGTTGGACCCCTCCTGCCTGGCTCAGTGGGGGGCGGGGGGCCCTGGGCCACTGAGACAGAGTGGGAAGACCCGAGGGTCACGTTCTGCCTCAGTGTCCTCCTTGGTCATGCAGGGAAGGTGACAGTGCCTCCTTCCCAGGCTGTGGTGAGGATCAGAGCCCTTTGGCCCATGCCAGGCCCTGGTTGGCACTCTGGAGGCATGGCTGGACGTCAGCCTGGACTCTGACCAGCGTCTCCCAGCTCTCACTGCCTGCCCACAAGGGCAGGGCCTGCCTGGTGCTCCCGCATGTCCTCAGAGCCGCCATGGAGGGGGGCATCGAAGCCTTGAGCCAAGGGGCAGTTTCCTGTCCTGTGGTCGGGGGTGGCTAACTTTGAAAGATTAGGGAGACCCCACTGCCCCCTGACGGGCAAGAATGATTGCTTCTGCCCCAAGACCCCCAGACATTCGCTCTGCTAGCCCAGGAGTCCGGGCCTGCGTCTGGGGAGTGCGTGAGGATGGCCTGTCCTGGGTCAGCCCCTGTTGTCCCTTGCTGTGGGGCCTTTCCTTCCTCTGACCATGGAGACCTGGGCCTCCTGGCCTTTCCCCTGAAGCAGGAGCAGGACAGGCCCACGTTGACGTGGGTGGAGGGTGCCGTGATGAGCAAAGGTGTGGAGGTGGGAGAGGGGCTGTGGGGGGTCCTCCTGGCCCCCGGGGTGCCCTCCTGTCCTGGAGCCTGCCTCTGCTTGTCCCTGAGCTGGTGACCTCTAGCCTGCCGGCTTTGTCCTTCTCCCTGCAGAGCGTTTGTTACGCACCGGGTCAGTCAGCAGGCCGGCGCCATTATTGAGAGTCCCGGCCATGGAGGGCACCAAGTCTATCTCAGGTAACAGGAACCTCAGTCAGAGGCTCCTGAGAAGGGGACAGGAGGGAATGGGCATTTATTAGGTACCTGCTGTGTGCTTTGCAAGTAGATCTCCTTTGATCCTCACCACAACCCTGGGGAGGGGGGGGGGCGGTTCTTATGGCTGAGGAAACTGAGCAAACGGCTAGAAAGTGTCTGAGGCCAGATTTGAACTCAGGTCTTTTTGACCCTCAGGCTGTTCCTCTGTAAGGTTGGGGGATTTCCAGGTCCCTTCTGTGAACCCCCAGGGTACTTCCCCATTAATTGCCTGAAATTGCAGAAGTCCCCCACGGATCAGGGGAGCCCTGAGTGCTGGTGACCATGAAGACTGGTCGGGACAAACGCCACCAGGGTGGCAGCTGTGGCACAGGGCTGGGGACACCACCCCGGGGGCTGTGGCCAGACCACTGACTCCCTCTTTCCTGTTCAGCATCTTCCCGCCGGAGTAGTGAGGAAATCAAGCCAGATGGACCCTCTGCAGCCTCCCTGATGGCAATGGGCCCAGCGTCCCCTCAGCTCTCTCATCCCTCCCCCACAGCATCCGTGACCCCGACCGCCCGCAGCCGCATCAGGTACGGCCCCAGCCCTGGAGGCGACTCCAGACTGTGGGGAGCCTCCCCCTTCCATGTGTGTGAGTTGGGAGGGCTGGGGTGAGTGTCCTGTGTCAGCGGGGCCCGGGGCGGGCGTCCCCCACAGGGCCTGAGGCGGGCATCCCGTGTTAGAGGGGCCCAAGGCAGGCGTCCCATGTCAGCGGGGCCCAAGGCAGGCGTTCCGTGTCAGTGGGGCCCAGGGCGGGTGTCCCCCAAAGGGCCCAAGGCGGGCGTCCTGTGTCAGTGGGGCCCAGGGCGGGCGTCCCCCACAGGGCCTAGGGCGGGCGTCCCCCACAGGGCCTGAGGCGGGCGTCCCGTGTTAGAGGGGCCCAAGGCAGGCGTCCCGTGTCAGCAGGGCCCAGGGTGGGCGTCCCGTGTCAGCGGGGCACAGGGTGGGCGTCCCCCGCAGGGCACTGCTGCTGCTCTCTGTGTGTTGCTCCCTCTTGTGGTCACAGTCCAGAGGTCCCAGGAGGTCACAGTGACCCTGGCTTTGGCCGTCCACATGCTGGTGAATGATGGTTCCCTCCGGTGCCCCCCAGGGAGGAGAGGAAGGACCCCCTGTCAGCCCTGGCCCGAGAGTATGGAGGCTCCAAGAGGAACGCCCTGCTGAAGTGGTGCCAGAAGAAGACTGAGGGCTACCAGGTGGGGGCAGGCGTCGTCTGGGAGGGAGCTGCCAGGCGCAGCTTTGGCAAAAATCTGAACCAAGGCCCTCGTGCTATTCCTGGGGGGCAGTGGCCCTGGCCTCCTTCCGCCCAGTCCCCACGGATATGGCCAGGGACGGTGAATGGGGAGGAAGCTGCAAAGACCGGTGTGGGCTGGACGTGAGGAAACCCAAGCTGGCCCAGAGGTAAGGGGCCTCTCCTCTTGGGAGGTGTCTGGGCAGAGCCTGGGCCAGAATCGGCGGCTTCTGTGGCTGCGACTGACCGGCTGCCTGGCCTCCAGCCCTGCCGTGCCAGGGGGTTCTTTGGAGCAAGCCTTGGTCCCAGGCCGTGGAGTTTGACCCTCTCCGATGCCTCCTCTTGTCTCCTCCCCTCCGCCATGACCCCTGCTCTCTTACAGAGTTGGGTGGCTGCACCGAGGTTGACTGTCCGAAGGAGAGCTGGTCGTGGGGTGGTCTCTGCGGGCAGGTGGGAAGGGCTAGGACCGTGGCACCAGCAGCCTGTGAAGATAGCTGGGGTGTGCAGCAGTGAGCCAGTTGTTAAATTTTCAGTGTGAGCATTTACCCCTCGGACATTGGCAAATGCTGCCAATGGGAGCTTGATTGTATCAATGTTGTCCAGTCTTAAGAAAGTGATGAAGAAAATGCTAGTACTGGATATTCAACTACCAAGTGCGTCCTGCACATACCTTTCCCCCCCAGAGAGCTGGTTGTTAAACATTTACCAGCAGACCTTGGATAATAGTCTTTGTTTGTTAGAAAGTAATGGAGACTAATTAGGAGGTCACATTGGTGACCCTGAACAAGTCGTGTCACCTCTTTGGGCCTCAGTTTCCCCATAGGTTCAGACTCGGTGACCTCCGAGGTCCCTTTGAGCTTTCTGGCATTGGCTCCAGCCTGGAGCGGATGTGTGTTGAGGGGGAAGGGGCAGCGTGTCGTGGCCTGGCTCTCTGCTCCTTCTCTGGGACATCCCTGTCACCTTGGAGCCTCCTGCGTGCCCATGCCCCCTTTTGGGGTGGAGGATCCTTGAAGGCCTGTGGCAGAAGGCCGTGTCGGGGCTCCGAGTGGTCCCTTCTCCCCCCTCCCTTCCCCAGACACATGAGAGGTACTCTGTCCCCCCTGCCTGCTGCCAGAGGACCGGCCTGTCTGCAGACAAGCCCTGTGCCCACCCTCCCTCTCACCATCCAAGGCAGGCCCTGCACCCCAGCCTCTCCCCTCTGTCCTGTCCTCCCCGGTGCTTCTGCTTGTGGTGGGGAGGTGACACAGCCCCCCCAAGGGATCTGGTGTGTCCAGGAGCAGGCCATGGGGAGGGGAGGGTGTCCAACTGCTGTGGCTGACGGGGAGATCTAGCAGGCCAGCCGGGGAGGCAGGTGGGCTGCAGTCTGCCTCCTTTGAGGGCAGGGTCCCACTGAGGAGGTGACATGGAGCTCTGCCAGCAGAGGTAGTGAGCCTCTCCTCTGTGGAGCTCTGCAAGGAGATGATGCATGACCACGCTGTAAATGGGGGTTCTCACCTGGGAGCTTGGGGTCTCTCCATCCCTGCCCAATTGAATGGGGCTCCTTGAGGCCAAAGGTGGCGGCTGGGGAGCAGTGTCTCTCCCTCTGTCTCTCCCTTCCCCCTTCCTCCTTCCCTCTCTCCCTCCTTCTGTCTGTCCCTTCTTCCTCTCTCCATCGCCTCCTTTCCTCCTTTTTCTCCCTGCCTCTTTCTGTCCCTTCTTCCTTCTCTCCCTTCCCCCTTCCTCCTTCCCTCCCTTCCTCTCTCTGTCCCTTCCTCCTTCCCTCCCTCCCTCCTTCTCTCTGTCCCCTGCTTCCTCCTTCCCTACCTCCCTCTCTCTTTCTTCTTCCCCCTCTCCTTCCCTCTCTCCCTTTCTCTCTGTCCCTTCTTCCCTCTCTCCCTTCCCCCTTCCTCTTTCCCTTCTCCCTCTCTCCGTCCCTCCCTTCCTCTTTCCCTCCCTCCCTCTCTCCATCCCCCGCTTCCTCCTTCCCTCCCTCTCTGTCCCTTCTTCCCTCTCTCCCTTCCCCCTTCCTCCTTCCCTCCCTCCCTCTCTCCATCACCCCCTTTCATCCTTCCCTCTCACCCTGCCTCTCTCTGTCCCTTCTTCCCTCTCTCCTTCCCTCTCTGTCCCTTCTTCCTTCTCTCCCTTACCCCTTTCTCCTTCCCTCCCTCTCTCTATCCCCCCTTCCTCCTTCCCTCTTCCTCCTTCCCTTTCTCCTCCTCCCCACCAGGCATTTCTCACTCAGCTGGGGTGACGCTGGCCTGAGATGTCCCCTGTCTGCAGAGAACCCTTGGCCAGGGTGTCCATCAGGGCCGGTGGCCTGCGGAGACTCCCCGGCCTCCGTGGGTCACGTTGGGGTTTCCACATGTTTCAAGTGAGAGCTTTAGGGTGAGGAAGCGAGGCCAGAGGCCGGGGAGGGTCTTAGAGGATCAGGGCTCTTGCTGCCTACTGGCAGTGCCCCTTGCCAGGCTTGGCTGGGCCCTGGGCGTGAGTGCACCTGAAGAGGCTGCTGGGAGAATGGGGGTCCTGTGTGGGGAGGGGCCTCTCCTTGCAAAGACTAAACCCCCTCCTCCCTGAGTGGTTGAGGAGTAGCTTGGAGAGGGGATCCAGCCACCTGGCCCCTGCGCTCTGCGCCCCCTCCATGGCCGCCAGCCACTGTGTGCCAGGCCTGCGTCAGCCAGGCATACAGGCCCACCATGGCAGATGAGCAGTTTCTGAGACCCCGTGGTACGGGGTTGTTGACTGTGTCCCGAGGGAGTCTAATTGGACAAGTTAATTTGATTTCTTGTTTAACTGTGGCAGAGGCAGGTCATTTGTGAAGGTGACTGATTATCGTCTCTTTTATTAAATTATGGCAAAGGTTCGTCACAGTCAGGGCTGGCTTGCTCTCTGGGTAGTTCTGTTTTGAAGCACGAGAAGGAAGATGAGGGAAGCGAGAAGGGGCTCCCAGGCAGGAGACCTTCCTCAGATGTGAGCTGGGCACGAGAGGGCAGGGACCCCAGCCTGGGCTGTCCGAGGAACAGTGGGGTCTGGAGCAGCTGTTGTGCTCAGAGGGGGGCGGTCATGACTCAGTGGCGAGCAGTTGTTTCTCCGGTGTCGATGGGGTGGGAAGCAGACATGAAGTTGACCATTTGAGGCCCTCATTGTTTTTCTTTCTTGTGAGTCACAGGGCCCGAGTTCAGTCCCCTTAGCTTCCTCCCCGCTGGCCATTCCCTTTTCAGACCCTGCAGGCTTTTGCTCTCCTTGCCCCTTGGCCAGGGTCAGCTTGTGTTGGCTCATCCTGGTAGCTGACTGTTCTGTCGTCCAGTGTCTTAGCTGTTCCTCCTGGCCTCTGTCCAGATCACGACTGTGCTCCCCCTCTCTATTACCCTCACACTGATGTGGATCCATTGGTCTTAATGAGACCTTCTCCAGGCCCTGGCTGACAGACATCCAGGGATCCTGGCAGCAGCCTGGTACACTGGGCAGAGTGTTGGACCTGGGTGACCATGAGTGCCCCCCCAATACTCCGGGGTTTGGACTGGACCCTCCTGGTTCCCCTGCCAGGGTCTGGGTCTGCCTGCCAGTTGGGAAGGAGCTTTCAGGGTCTCCAGGTGCAGTTGCTGGCCCTTCCTCCGAGAAGGTGTTTGGGATGGGCTGTGGGGCGAGCCTGAAAGGATGGCCTTCCTGAGGGGCTGTACCAGACCTCTCCCTCCCTGTGCTGCTGAGGAACTGAGAGACCCCTCCTTCCGCCTGTACAAACCGTGCTCTCAGGGGACTCGGTCTCTTCTCTGGGAGCAGCTGTGGGTATCCTCTGCTCGTCCATGTGTCCAGCATCTGCTCCTGCACCTCCTCTTATCACTGGGCCTGCCTCATTCGTGAAATTGATTGTTTGAACCCAAGGGGGGGCTTGACATTTATCTGTGGCTACTCTGGTACAGTGATGAGAGAGACAGACAGATGTCGGGGTGGGGAGAGGGAGGGAGACAGAGAGGCGTCCAGGGGAGGAGAGCATGTGGGCTTGAAGCCTGGCTGTCATTCACTCTCTGTGTGATATTGTCGGGCCCCTCACTCAAATTCCTGGGGTTCTGTTTCTTTGTCTGTATGATAAGGAGTGTGGGCTAAATTGCCTGTGAAAAAGATCTGGTAATGATGTGATTCCTTGAGAGGAACCAAAGGTCTAGACTTTGAAGGGAAATGAAGAAGAACGCAAGGGAAGAAGAGAAGTGGCCGAGCAGAGTCCGTCAGCAGGTAAAAAGCAGAGGGGTTGGTCAGTGGAGCACAGCAAGACCCTGGTTGTGGGGGATGTGTGGGGACAGCGGACAGCAGCCTGGCCGAAGTGAGGCGAGGGCCAGCGGCTCACACCATACATCAAGAGGCTCTCCACGTGGGCACAGGCCCTGGATCTGTGCAAGATCTCCAGCAGAGGACTGCGGGATCTGTCTGTGATCTCCAGCGGAGGACTGAGGGATCTGTGCGAGATCTCCAAGAGAGGACCGCAGGATCTGTCTGTGATGTCCAGCGGAGGACCGAGGGATCTGTCTGTGATGTCCAGCGGAGGACCGAGGGATCTGTCTGTGATGTCCAGCGGAGGACCGAGGGATCCGTGTGAGATCTCCAGCAGAGCACCGAGGGATCTGTCTGTGATGTCCAGCGGAGGACCGAGGGATCTGTCTGTGATGTCCAGCGGAGCACCGAGGGATCTGTCTGTGATGTCCAGCGGAGGACCGAGGGATCGTGTGAGATCTCCAGCAGAGGACTGAGGGATCTGTCTGTGATGTCCAGCGGAGGGCCGAGGGATCCGTGTGAGATCTCCAGCGGAGCACCGAGGGATCTGTCTGTGATGTCCAGCGGAGGACCGAGGGATCTGTCTGTGATGTCCAGCGGAGGACCGAGGGATCTGTCTGTGATGTCCAGCGGAGGACCGAGGGATCCGTGTGAGATCTCCAGCAGAGGACTGAGGGATCTGTCTGTGATGTCCAGCGGAGGACCGAGGGATCCGTGTGAGAT